AGGCCCACAAAGCTCCACTGGAGACAACTCCAGACCCCCTAGCTTGCTTCTGGGCCTGCAGCCATAACTGATTTGGGGGGCAGTGTTGTCTTGGCTTTAATAGAAAGGGATGAATGTTATATAGCTTGGTCCACAGAAGCTGTTTAGACTTCTTTTTGTTTACTGTTTCCTAGGGAAAGAATATATGACATTCTGAATGTTTAATTTCATTTCCTCTTTCCATCCTTGAATGTAGCCCAGTGTAGACTTTTTATTTTTTTATTTTTTTATTTTTTTTGAGACGGAGTTTCGCTCTTGTTACCCAGGCTGGAGTGCAATGGCGCGATCTCGGCTCACCGCAACCTCCACCTCCCGGGTTCAGGCAATTCTCCTGCCTCAGCCTCCTGAGGATCTGGGACTACAGGCACGCGCCACCATGCCCAGCTAATTTTTTGTAGTTTTAGTAGAGACGGGGTTTCACCATGTTGACCAGGATGGTCTTGATCTCTTGACCTTGTGATCCACCCGCCTCGGCCTCCCAAAGTGCTGGGATTACAGGCTTGAGCCACCGCGCCCGGCCTAGTGTAGACTTTTTAAAAACTCAGCAATGAGCAAAGCAGGTAGAGGAGAGGTTACATCTCAATAACTGGTCCCCTAGAAATTCAGCTGGTTATTTTTTGAGACGGTCTTGCTGTCACCCAAGCTGGAGTGCAGTGGCTTGCTCATAGCTCACTGCAGCCTCAGCTTCTGGGCTCAGGTGTCCTCTTGCCCCAGCCTCCCAAGTAGCTGGAACCACAGGCATGTGCCACCATGCTCAACTAATTTTTAAAAATTTTTTGTAGGAATGAGGTAGCTAGTTAAAATCCAGGTGAATTTTAGAAATGAACAATTGATCCCATGTATGAATCAAAACTGGCAAATAGTTTCTTCTCTGACATAGAGCCTGGGCCAGCACAGGTCCTCCTGTGACCATGTCCAGTTGCCCATTTTCCTCATGCTTTCTCTTTCATATGATTCTGTAGTCTGCCTCCCACCAGCCCTCACTGTCCTGTTTGCAGCCTCCTGAGCCTTCTCACCTACCCCTGGCCCCTCCTTCCAAACCAACCTGGCACAATCCCCAGATACCTCACTCCAGCCTTCCCTAGTGCAGCTCCCTGGGAAGAAGAGGCAGCCTGCGCCTGTGTTAGATACACCCAATTGCTCTGTGCTGGCTGCTCTGCTGGAGTTTAGTCTCAGTCCTGTCAGTATTCCTGCAATTATGTAGGCACTGTCATCACAGGCATGTGGAAAGCTTCGGGACAGTTAAGAAAGCTGTACAGTCACACAGCTATGTAGTGAAAACTGTGGGCATCAGAACATAGCTATCTGTATCCGAAGTCTATAAATTATTTTGCTGTGCTGCGGTACAGCTGTTACATCTAAGAAGCCAGTGGTGTCAGCACAGCCTTCAGCCTCCGTGGCCTGGCATTTCTTACCAGCCCCCAGCCCAGCTCCTATAGCTGGCACTCTCCTAGCAGCCCAGCTTTCTTGGTGCCTTCTTCAAGGTGCCCTCTAGAACATCCTCCCTGACTCCTCAGAAGGCTCTGGTTACCACTAAAGGCTCCTTCTTCCCATTGTACCTTGTCCTCTGCTGGCTAGAGCAGCACACCAGTAACCTGCATGGCCTATCAACATATACCCCAGACCCCGGGGCTGGCCCAAGTGAGGTCAGTATTTAATGGCACTTGAAACTGTCTAGATGAGTAGAGCAGAACTTATACAAGGACCAGCACTTGGGTTTATCAACTGCCACCTTGATTTCTTCTCTCCAAAAGGTTGCAAACTAAATCGCCTGAACTCTGTTGTTGGTGAATATGCCAATGCGTGTTTACAAGTGGCCCAAGACTGTGGGACTGACATACTTGACCTGTGGACCCTGATGCAAGATAGCCAGGTATGGTGGCTTGCTCAGTCCTCTCGAGGTGAATAGGATCACACAGAAGTAAACCAGGTGTGTGTGCAGCTTTCCCTAGAAAGGTCCTGCTTAGCTAAAACAGTCATCCCTTTAGCCAATGGAAACAAAAAGGCTTGGGGAGGGAAGGAATGGAGGTTCCAGGATGGCTCGCAAGCCCAGCAGCTTATTTGGCCAGGCTCCTTGGCTGGTGGTACACAGTGATGTAAATAAGCAATACGTGGCTCCTATTTATGAACATCCAGGCCAAGTTCTTCTTTCATATAGAGAATGGCAGAAATCTAAAACTTGTTAATATGTAAAACAATGGATCTGAATATACTATTGCCTGATAACTCAGTTTGAGATATGTAGTTTTAATTAAGTTACTTTGTTGTTTTTTTTTTTGTTGTTTTTTTGAGACGGAGTTTCACTCACGTTACCCCGGCTGGAGTGCAATGGCGCAATCTCGGCTCACCGCAACCTCCGCTTCCTGGGTTCAGGCAATTCTCCTGCCTCAGCCTCCTGAGTAGCTGGGATTACAGACACACGCCACCATGCCCAGCTAATGTTTTGTATTTTTAGTTGAGACGGGGTTTCACCATGTTGACCAGGATGGTCTCGATCTCTTGACCTCGTGATCCACCCGCCTCGGCCTCCCAAAGTGCTGGGATTACAGGCTTGAGCCACCGCGCCCGGCCCGTTACTTTGTTTTATATTTGTGAATATGCTTTCAGGCTTTAAAAGATAAAAAGTGGGTCCCATAGAGGTGCAGCTACTTAGGAGATGGCTAGACGTTTTCTTACACAGTCACACATACACTTAGGGAGGACCTGGCCGTCCACTCCTGGGTTATCTGCCCTAGAGAAAGGAAAACTACGATCACACATAACTTGGGTGTGATGTTGACAACAGCATCATTCCTGCCTGCTGGAAACACCCCAGTGTTCTTCTGTGGCTGAATAGGGAACCTGGCGTGTCCATGCAATGGGATACTACTTGGCAATAAAAAGGAAATCTTGACACAGAGCAACATGGGTGACTCAAAGCGCTTCACTGAGGGAAGGAAGCTGGTCTCTGAAGGGTACATACTACATGAGTCCATCTGCTTGGTATCCCAAAAAGGCAAGACTGGGCCAGGCACAGTGGCTCACGCCTGTAAACCCAGCACTTTGGGAGACCAAGGCGGGTGGATCACCTGAGGTCAGGAGTTCAAGACCAGCCTAGCCAACATGGTGAAACCCCATCTCTACTAAAAATACAAAAATTAGCCAGGCATGTTGGCGGGCGCCTATAATCTCAGCTACTTGGGAGGCTGAGGCAGGAGAATTGCTTGAACCCAGGAGGTGGGGGTTGCAGTGAGCCAAGACCATGCTATTGCACTCCAGCCTGAGCAACAAGAACGAGACTCCGTCAAAAAAAAAAAAAAAAGTCACATAAGCTAGTTGGCACCCAGATTCTAACAGAGCTCTTGCCTAGTGAGATTCTTCCCCAAGTGAGAAATGGCTGTATGGGTAAAATTCTTGAGTTCAGGGCCTGGTATGGCCGTTCATGCCTATAATCCCAACACTTCATGAGGCCAAGGTGGGAGGATTGCTTGAGCCTAGGAGTTCAAGACCAGCCTGTACAAAAAGTACAAAAATTAGCCAGGCATGGTGGCACATGGCTGTTGTCCCAGCTATTCAGGGGGCTGAGGTTGGAAGGATCACTTGAACCCAGGAGGTTGAGGCTGCAGTAAGCCATGATCACGTCACTGTACTCCAGCCTAGGCAACAAAGCAAAACCTATCTCCAAAAATATATATATATATATTTTTAAATATATACTCTTGAGGTCAGGGGAGTGGGAGCGAGACTGGGCTCTTGTCTCAGCAATTACTAGTCTAGGTTAGATGGTACAAGTTCTTTCCACCTAAAAATCTAAGTCAAAAATAATATTAAACTCATGGGAGACCTAATACCAAATTTTTCATTTTTTGCTGATTATGTTTATAGGCCATATTTCCCTGTTAAGGCTCTTTCAAACAATAACCTGAGGATCATGTCATATGACTCAGAAGACCTAGAATGAGGTCCCAGTTCATTTAACAGTGAGTGACTTTCATGAAACTTGGTTCTATAATACAGAGACAGTACTATAATAAGGGTTAAGTGTTCAAACACCTGTGTAATAGCACGTCAGTGCCACTGTAGTCTAAGACAACTCTGGTCTGATGCCCAAAATGAAAGGGGCTGGTGATCTTTCTGTCACAGGGCCACAAACGAGAGAATGTTACATACTAGCATTCAGAAAAAGTTATACTCTCCCTCCCACACTTTTTTTTTTTTTTTTTTTTTTAAATCTTATAGTCTTGCTCTATCACCCAGGCTGGAGCTCAGTGGTGCAATGATCGTCACTGTAGCCTCAAATTCCTGGGCTTAAGTGATCCTCCCACCTTAGCCTCCCAAGTAGATGGGAATACAGGTCTGTGCCACCACACCCGGTGTGGCACAGACCTGTAAAATACAAAATTTTTGTATTTAAAAAATTTTTTTGTAGAGACAGGGTCTCGAACCTGTCCTCCAGTGATCCTCGGCCCCAACGTGTTAGAATTACAAGTGTGACTTACCACACCTGGCCAGTTACCCACCTTTAACCGATTTCTCTCTCCCTTCTAGGACTTCTCATCCTATTTATCAGATGGACTACATTTGTCACCAAAGGGGAATGAATTTTTGTTCTCACATCTCTGGCCTTTGATAGAGAAAAAGGTCTCTTCTCTGCCTTTGCTGCTACCTTACTGGCGGGATGTAGCAGAAGCAAAACCTGAATTAAGTCTGCTAGGAGATGGAGACCATTAGCCAATCACAGGAGACCCAAGTCTGCTCATTAATCTACAGAACTCAAAGTTGCCAATACATAGAGAAACCCCTTTTTCCTCCGGCTTAAACCTTTGCCAATGATATTAATAATAAAAGGATTTTTTAGGGAAGTTTTGTACTTAGGCCCATTGTGTTTTGATAGTATTTATTAATGCAGATATCAGTGCTACAGCTATAAAATATACCCTAAGCAGCTTAATTTTACAAATGACAAAAGACTTTTTTTTTAAAAAGTCACAATTTTATAAAAATGGTTTTCTTACATTCTTTTGAGAACTGCTGCACGCATACACCCACACACCTTGTATCAAATTCCAAAAGTGTAACTAAAATACAAGAATATTGTGACTAGTTAAAAGACAGCAAATACCATAAGGTACAAGTTCAAGTATTAGTATAACAAGTATCTGCATAACAAATGTCCTTGGAAAAGTTGGGGGGGAAGGACATGATTAGTCAAAGGTTTGGTTAATTGCCCTCAAAGTTTACAAGTTGAAATGTTTTGGCTGGTGAGCACATTTCAGTTCTTAGGGGAAAAAAGCATTTAATGGCAATTTATAGAAATCAGAATTCAGGCTAATGGTTTTTATCCTTCACAGAGTAAATGCAGCCCCTCCAGAGTCCTGGAGCAATAAAATAATTCAAATATCTGCTTGTGGGTCAATAAAAGGGGTTTCTGAAGAATCAGTTCTTGTAGGGACGGCCCCCCAACCATAAGGGCAGGCAGCATTCAGTTTCCTGGCTGGCTCATCACACCTCAGCCTATTCAAAACAACCTATTCTTAAGAAATATCTTACCCTCTTATTCACTAGTGTTTGAAAACAGGCAACCCAATATGCTGGGATTGATTACAGGCATGAACCACTGCACCTAATTGATAGTGAATTTTCTAAGAGCAGGTATCCCTATCAGTAATAGGGATACATGAAGATACTTACACAGAAAAATTACCCAGCAAATGAGGGCCCTACATGGTTGATCGGCTTCCATAATTCAACTAGCTAGCACTCACCCTCACTGTAAGGTGGGCAGTTATACTAGTAGGGAGTATTAATCTTAGAATTATGAAAAGCCATATTAACCCAAATAATTTCTAAACCTAGATGTATAATTCTCCCTGCTACTTAAAAACTTCGGGTAATAACTAGAAATAGACCCACAATTTAGAGACAATGTATATTTAGAGACAACGTATAACTACATTTATCTCCTTTGTTTTTAGTTGAAGGCAAAAATTAAACCTATTGTGTTCCAGTTGTCCTCACAAATAAATGCTAAATGCCTCATATTCAGCGGTTCATTACAGTGTATTAAAAAATCATTTCCCTAGTCAGTGCTGTTATCAATATAAAAGATTAATTTACAAAAACGTAAATATTCATAACCCAATCCAGCTGTATTTTCTGCTTTTGCACCACAGGTCAAAAGATACTTAAAAAACTAAAACCTGAAAGCCTCAAAATAAGCTAGATTCACCTTCACCTTACCTTTTCAAAAGGAGACGGGCAGAACCACACAAGAACTGTTTATCTGCAGGAAGTTCAAACACATGACCGGCATCTGCTGTTAAGTCACTTCCTTACTTCCCAATCTTCACAAAAATAAGCTGTGATTGTAAGTCAAATCTATAAAAATATTTTGCACACTTAAGTGAAAAGAACTGAGAACTAAACTAGCACTCTGTTTCTTTGCTGTCAACACGATTCTGACGCTGCAGTTTAAAGGAGGCAGCCTTTTCACTTCTGGTGACCGGATGGTCCGTGAGATCCTCAAATGACTTGGCAGCTGTGCTGCTATTTGGGAAGGGGTCCTTCTCAAACCCGTCTTCATCCATATGTGAGTCTGTGCTAGGGTCTTCCTGGATGGTGTCCATTCTCTGGTGGTCCAGTTTCGGAGCTGCTGGCGCTGAAGGGATCACAGGGGCAGGCGGCAGGCGGCCTGGAGTCTGGGGTGCAGGAAAGGGTTTGATAATGCGAACTGATGCAGAATCCATGCTACTCAGCATTTCAACATTCTGGAAAGACATGGGTTCAATTGATGGGAAAAAAGATGAATCAGGTCCTCATAGTTCAACCTTACCCATCAAAGAGCACCTTATTCTGTTGGCACTGTGATGCCTCTTGCTAAAAAAAAAAAAGTGTTAGGTGAGGCTCACTCAACCTAAGAAGTAACTAGAAAATACTAGGTTGGTGCAAAAGTAATTAATGCAATTACTTTTAATGGCAAAAACAGCAATTACTAGCTTTCAAGCATCCTGAAAACTTACCATTTGATGATCCAAAAGAAGATTCAAACCTCTCAAGGTAAGATCCCAAGACAGAAATTGATCTCAAAATATCAGCTAAGTGTGGAAGAGCTAAATCACTCCTTATGGTTTGGGAAGGGGACAGCACCGCTATTTAAATCACCATCCATGCAGCTAATCAAAGTTCACCATCACTATTGTCAGGAGGGCAAACATTCCAACCTAGACCCTTCCAGTAAGAAAGTTCTTACGGGGTCAAGTAAAGGTCTTTGCCTAACAGGGCCTCAAAGACAAGGCGAAGATTATGTTTCTTTCATGTGGTATACTCACACTGGGGTGAAATAGAGACAGAGATTCATACTGCTTATCCAATTTCTTATCCTAGAAAAAAAAGAACAGCAAGAAAAAAGGTCATTCCTACAAATAAAATTCAGTTAGGGAGTACTATTTCCTCCCAGGCTACTCTTAACACTAAGTGAAGAACTTAGAAGGTGAGTTGTAGAAAGTGACAGCAGGCTCAATGATTAGAATGCATTTCTCACCCCAGCTTTAGTTATACCACCAGTCTAGAAGTGTTTGCTCTGCACTCAAAGAAATATATTTTGGCATTAAGTACAGAAAGAGGCAAGGTTTAAGTGCTGTGTGAGAAATGTATCCCTCTGTGGGCAGGGGAATAACAAGGGCATCTTCCTGTACATGAAGTGACAAATGTCCCAGATGCTGGGTACACCAGGACCACACTGACTGGAAAGGTGGCTGGAAGACCCAGGTGGCTGGGCCTGCCACTTCCCTCACATTGCCCTGGCCCATAGCCTCACTCTCTTCTTAGCTGTCACAACAGTTTATGTGGACCACGATCTGCTGGAAGAACTAAGCCTCAATCCCTACATCCTACTTCTGCAGAAGGCTGACCACATGGCCACCTGCTACCCCGTCCCTGCCTGTGACTGAGGGCAACAGAGGGCAAGAACCAAGAATCCAGGCCTAGGCTTCCTGTCTAGCTGCCATCAATGTATTCTATGGCCAGAAATAAGCCACAGCCCTCCCTCCTGTCAGAGGCTTTGCTCTAAAATCAAGGGTTGTGCCTTGCCCACATGTGCAACTTCCCTGTAAAAAAAAATAGGTTCCACCCTCCAATAGCAATCGTGATAGATGGCACTGTTATCCAGAGACATCTGTCAAAGCTTCAAGCATGTCACCTTTAAAACAGCTTTCTTCAGCAGAAGTGCTCCCTAGAGATCTTCCTCCCTACACCCATCATGCTCACCACCCCAAGGAAAAAGCTGCTCGGTGAGATGGCCCCTAGGCAGGAGAAGCCAGTGAGAAAGGAAAGGAAGGAGGCGGCAGGGAAAAACTTAGTTAGCAGAGCTGTGCTGGAACTTTTAAGTGCTCATAGGAAGGGCACTGTGAAAGAATTTCGGAGAACAAGTCTGGAAGCCTGGGTCTGATTTTCTCATCTCTATGGCGGACAAATACCCACTCCCCACAGATGCAAGTGAATGGATGTAAGAACATAAATGTAAGAACATTTATGAACAAGGGCCTCAAATTTATAAAGTACCTGGAGTTCCTCAGTCAAAGCCCAATTCAACTTGTAGCTATTACTGATAATGAGAACAGAAGACTGCTTACTCTTATTTATTTAGGAAGATGTGAATACTCTATATGATAGCTGGGCCCCAATCCCGACATCCTGCTTCTGCAGAAAGCTGAACACATAGCCATCTGCTACCAAGAATCTATATGATATATGGGGAACATCTGAAATGCCAATGTTTGACATTTGCTGTATTGCAACAAAGTCAGCCCGGACATGCCCTTAATTAGGGGCTCTACTCATCAAAGGACCTGGACAAATCAGTTAAACAGTCTCCTATGCTTCCAAGTATAAAATTCCTGAGACAATTTATTTTATATTAAAATAAAACACCAACATGCAAAAATAGTATCATTTTTTTAAAAGACCATTAGCCAAGCTTTCTACAAGACATGCTCCCCTAGGAATAACACTAAAAAAAAGTTATTGGAAATATCAGGACAGACTTTGCTAAGAACAAGTTTTATCTTTTCCAAAGATCACAATGGAGTTGATCAAAATTTAAAGAAAATGTTTAGGCCGGGGGCAGTGGCTCATGCCTGTAATCCCAGCACTTTGGGAGGCCAAGGCAGGCAGATCACAAGGTCAGGAGTTCAAGACCAGACATAGTGAAACCCTGTCTCTACTAAAAAATACAAAAATTAGCTGGGCATGGTGGCTCGTGCCTGCAATCCCAGCTACTTGAGAGGCTGAGGTAGGAGAACTGCTTGAACCAGGACCCGGAAGGCGGAGGTTGCAGCGAGCCGAGATCGCGCCACTGCACTCCAGCCTGGGCTACAGAGCAAGATTCCATCTCAAAAAAAAAAAAGAAAATGTTTAATTACTTAAAAGTTGGTGACTTACCACACAATGGACAAGAATGCTGAAAGGAATCCAAAATATCAAGGAGAAAACCAGGACAGACCCAACGATGTTGTCTGCTAAAAATTTCCCTGTGAACAATTCCAAACAGTGAATGTCTTGACCGAGTACTTCACAAATCTAAAGTGAAATCCTCTTACGATATTACCATTGTGTCAAATGGCAGAGCTGCTGGCTAGACACTACTCACAGTATTGAAAAGTGTCTGTGCTACCTTTATTAGACCAGACCATCCCTCCATACAAGTGCTTTTAAACTGGCTGATTAGGAAGAGATTGCAGAATACTCAACATGCCTCCTGGGGTAACAGTCAACAGCTAATCACATGGAATGCTACTACTAGTAACAAATGCTTAAGAAGACAAAGTTTTTGTTACCTGGATATTTTTATAATTAAATTATGGACCCAGGAGGACATGATATAGCCTGCTTCTGTAAAATATGAGGCCTACTTTTACATTAAGCAGGATTCAGTCTATAGCATTCAGTCAAATAAACACTCTTACATCAATCAGGATTCAGTCTATAGCATTAAACTATGCTTATGCTACTCACATGTATATTTTGGAGTAAAGAAGGAAGCCAAATATTTTGACTTTAATTCCCTTGTCAGAAAATCTACATCCAAGCTCCATGGGGACAGACTATGAGTTCATTTTATTCTAGCCAACAAAGTTGTTTCCTAACAAAAGCAGTGAATATTTCCACCTTCTACTGCAGAATTACAGCACATCACTCTGAAAGCACATTTTTCTAATGTCATCACAGAAATCAACTTGGCTCTCAATAAACAGTCTGGGGAAATCACCTACCAAAAGTATTGATGCTCAGCTGGTCAATGAAATCCCAAAATCGTTCAATTACATCCTGTACACGTTTCTCACATTTGCCCTATGAAGAAAAACCATACAGCATCATTCCCAAACGCAATGTATTCAGAGATAATGTAGCTTTATAAAAATAACTGACATGTAAAGGACTTCATTAAAATCAAACATTTTCCCATCTTTGACACAGGACAGTAACTTCATCATAATGACTACCCCAAGAAAGTAGGACATACCGTCATTGATACTTTCCTAATTAGCCCATTTTTACAAGTGTAAGATACAGTAAGTTCCTCTTCAGAGGTTCAGCTTGTTTAACTTCCCTGTTCTTTTTTCTTAAAGTCAAATTCCTTGTACCCTCCCTGCTCCTAGTTACCTGCTTTGTAATCTGTGACCCTTCCCACCTTTTGCCACACCCTGACATGCCCAGACACACCTTGTACCATAACAGACAGCCTCTCCCTTCCCGTCTAATTAGCCATATTCAATTTTAAACAGTAGCCAATCAGGTCAGCTTAGATTGTGTGGTCCGGCTCCGGCCAATGGGGCCAGGACACAGAAGCAGAGACTGACTGTGTTAGGGATAAAAACCCCTTCCCTCCCTTGTCCAGTGTGCTCTTGCAGTGACCAGAAGTGCAAGCACCACCTTCTACAGAAGTAAATTTGCCTTGCTGAGAAATCTTTCACTTGGGTAATCATTCTCTTTGCAACTCCAAGCTCTTATTCCAAGCACAAGTGATTTAGAATTACCAAAAGACAAAAATCAACAAAACCAATTTGCTAAAGATGAAGCATTCCAGTAAAGACTATTGATTACACACACGCAGTGGACAGTGAAGAACACAGCCCGACTCATTGTGAAGCCTCTTAAACCTTGAAACCCTTGCCCATCATTCTGCATGGCAAGGGTCTGACTTAGGTAAATCAAGCAGCCTTCTAGGTCTTTCCTACTCATTCAGCACCTGTTTCAAAATCACACCTTGAATAATTTTGTAATCTGAGTCAATTCTATAAGTAATTTAGGAAAACATAATTAGGACCCACTGCCTGAAACCAAGGAACTTTACCATAAAGTCCCTACCCCCAGTCCTTCTCAGTCTCTGGGCCCAAAGCCTCCTACTATGGAAGGAAACTGCAGGCAGGGACCTGAAAGCACTCTGTCTTTTCCTCCTAAGTCATATCCATACATAACAATGGGCCAGAAGGATATAGCCCCATTCGTGTTTTGATTTCTTTGCATTTGCAAAATCAAGGACTTACAAAATAAAAACTTCCCATCTGGCTGATACAGAAAAAGCTGTACATAAATACTCACATTCATGTCACAAAATCCTACTGTACAGGGCTTTCCTTTCCTCAAAAATAAGTTCTTTTGTTCAGCATCGACGTAGGGCACACACCGGCCAGAAGGATCCCTGCAGCACACCTTGCATGAGTTGTCAGTTTCTGAAACAGCACACAAATTGACAGCTGGAGTTTTCTAACACCTGGCTCTCCTCCTCCCTCCTCTTTCCTCCCTGACCATGCTCCCAAAGAGGCAAGAAATCACATTTATTTTTAATTTCAATAGCTAATACTAGCCATATCCCCCAACCAAAGAGTAGTTTCTGAGGTCACACTCCTCAGCCTTGAGTGACAGAGGCCACAAGGTTAAAAAAAATACTTTCAGAGAAAAGTCTGTTCTAGATTACCCTCTCTTGCAGGTCTAATTATTCTCTCCACTTCAAGTCCCTCACAATGTTCTTCTGTATGTTTCCCTTTCTCCCAACACTCTTATTACCCTGCTGACTTCAGTCCTTGGCTTTTGAGTCTAAAATGTGCCCCTCGGGGTTGGCTCCCTGAGAGCAAGAGCAGCTGGGACACAACTGTCCACCTGTGGGTGAGGAGCTGAGTGACCCCAGGGGCATGAGCCCTGCAGCCGAAGCTCCATAACTCCTCCATCAAGAACATCTCTGACAGGTCACAGGATAGAACAGCTAGGCATCTGTGAGCCATGTGGGCACACACAGGAATGGCAGAAATGCCAGAAAATTAAACGCTATTTATACTTAGGAGAAGAAAGAAATCAACTAGAACACAAAAACGAGCAAAAAGTAAACCTTTTCAGGCTGGGTGCAGTGGCTCACTCTTGTCATCCCAGCACTCTGGGAAGCCAAGGCAGGCGTATCACTTGAGGCCAGGAGTTCAAGACTTGGTCAACACGGCGAAACTCTGTCTCTACTAAAAATGCAAAATTAGCCAGGTGTGGTGGTGCACGCCTGTAGTCCCAGCTACTCAGGAGGCTGAGGCACAAGAATCGCTTGAACCCGGGAGGGAGAGGCTGCAGTAAGCCGAGATTGCACCACTGCACTCCAGCCTGGGCAAGAGTGAGACTCCATCTCAAAAAAAGAAAACCTTTTCATCATTCACTAATTCATAAAATATTTCTTGAGCATTTACTGTGTCAAGGCTCTGCCCTTCCAGGTCACCCCAAGCCTCTTGCCATTCGCACAACAGATTTTTTATTTGGCATCTATTATGTGGTTTTTTTTTTTCTTTTTTTTTTTTTTAAGACAGAGTCTCACTCTGTTGCCCAGGGTGGAGTGCAGTGGCGTGATATCAGCTCACCACAACCCCTGCCTCCCAGGTTCAAGTGATTCCCCTGCCTCAGCCTCCTGAGTAGCTGGGATTACAGGCGAGTGCCACCATGCCCAGCTAATTTTTTTCATGTTTTTAGTAGGGACGGGTTTTCACCATGTTGGCCAGGCTGGTCTCAAATATCTGACCTTGTGATCCGCTCACCTCAGCCTCCCAAAGTGCTGAAATTACAGGCATGAGCCACCACGCCCAGACTTATCTTTTTTTTTTTTTAAGAGATAAGTTTCACCACGTTGCCCAGGCTGGTCTCAAACAACTCCCGAGCTCAAGCGATCCACCCACCTTGGCCTCCCAAAGTGCTGGGATTATAGATGTGAGCCACCACACTCAACCTATCTTCTTTACCTGCACATTACTGCATTTGGAAGAGTCCCTTACTCCACTGTACAGATGGTGAGCTTCCAACCCAGTGATTTTATTTAACTACTGGGTTGTCCTTTTTTTTTTTTCCCCCCCAGTTTTTTTTGAGACGGAGTCTTGCTCTGTCACCCAGGCTGGATACAGTGGTGTAATCTCGGCTCACTGCAACCTCTGCCTCCTGGGTTCATGCAATTCTCCTGACTCAGCCTCCTGAGTATCTGGGACTACAGGCCCGCTCTGCCACATCCGGCTAATTTTTGTATTTTTTAGTAGAGATGGGGTTTCACCATATTGGGCAGGCTGGTCTCGAACTCCTGACCTCGTGATCCACCCACCTTAGCCTTCCAAAGTGCTGGGATTACACCATGCCCAGCTAAGTTTTTCGTGTTTTTCTTGCACCTGGCCCAATTTTTTTTGTTGTTTTTTTTTTTTGTTTTTGTTTTTGAGACAGAGTCTCACTCTGTCGCCCAGGCTGGAGTGCATTGGCACAGTCTCAGCTCACTGCAACCTCCACCTCCCGGGTTCAAGCAATTCTCCTGCCTCAGCCTCCCTAGTAGCTGGGACTGCAGGTGTGAGCCCCCATGCCTGGCTAATTTTTGTAGTTTTAGTAGAGATGGGGTTTTGCCATGTTGGCCAGACTGCTCTCAACTCCTGACCTCAAGTGATCCACCCGCCTCAGCCTCCCCAAGTGCTGGAATTACAGGCGTGTGCCACCACACTCAGCTCTTGGTCTATTTTAAAAGAACTCTCTCATTGACTGTCCATGGTTTCAATGAGACCTCCGTCATGCTACCTGGTTTAAGTGGGGTGGCAGGCAGAGAACAGCCATTTCCTGACCAGTCCATGAAGATACTCTCAAACCCAGGGGTTCCAAAATAGCATAGAAACCAAAGGAAAACTGGCAGGTCAGCAGGATAGAGGCTTCTGCCCCAGGCTGCTCTAAGAGATCCGAGGGGAGCAGACCCAGCCTTCTTGATAAGCCTGAAAATCCTGATCTAGTGGGGTCAGATCCTGGAATCAGCTCTCTCTGGCTGAGTTCTTGCAGGAGCATCCTGTTCCATGCCAGTGTAATGTAGATAGCCAATGCTGCTTTCATGGTTGGTATGATATGGAGAAGAGAAGGGTTAGGACACACCTCTACCTCCCCACCCACTTACCTACAACAAAATTCCCTCCTATGCCACCTTGAAGCCTACTATACGGCCTGAAAATGCAGCAAGAAGACCAACAGGACAGGTCTCCCACATGTGGTAGAAGAGCCAAGATCTGCATTCACGGATGTCTGTCTCCAGACGCTACCCTGCCTTTCCCCCTACCCTTGTCCTCGGCTTGGCGGTCTCACCACTGCTGTCATTAGCACGACATCCAAATGGAGGGAGGGAGCCTGGCAGACAAAGGCCATGTTTTGTCCTGCTGCTGGATGGGCATAAAACTGTGCTCACCATTACATGCGCAGGACTCCAGCTGCTGCTCCCTCTCACAGAAAGGGATGCACTTCCCATCCTTACACTTGCCAAGATCCAAGCAAACAGTGTCATCTTCAGCATTTCCTGGAGGTGGGCACTCACTGCTATTACCTGGAAGCAAACACCAGTCATAACAAAAAGAATGAGTCTCAGGTCCACCAGTTCTACATGTGCATAATACGCTGTTTCTCATACAAGTGAGCACCTTACCTTGCAAACAGTAAAAAGTGACCTACAGAGCTAGGACGAGAGCCTGCATCTCACCAGGAATCAGCATTTAGGGAGTGCCTATGTGCCAGGCTACATTGCATGAGTCCCTGGCCTCCCAAGCCCTGGTTAGAATGCATGGTCTCCACTTCTGCATCACACAGCCATATATAAAAGAATATCCTGTGTGTCATTACTTAGAATAAACTGCAAACCTTGTATGAAGGCTTAAAAGAGCAATATGGCCTTCCCTATCTAGCCCTGACTTCATCGCACACAACTCTACCATAGCCCACTCTGCTTTGGCTATGACAACCTCCGTTCAAGTTCCTTCAATATTAACAGATACTTGTCCTTCTACCTGGAATGCTGGTGTTTCCACTCTTTTGGGGCGATTAGCTTGGTTTTGCTTATGGATTAAGTTTTGTCTCAAAGATTCTCTTCTGAGATATCCCTGAGGATGCTAAGTTGATGTGACCTCCCATTTCCATTATGCACTATTGCATCCCTTCTCTCCTTCATTGCGTATGTTTTGCAATTTATATATATTTATTGTTATTTTCTGTTTCCTCTCTACTAGATTTACTACAAGCCCCATGAGAGCAATGATCAAATCTATTCATCAGGTTATCTCCAATCCCTATCATATTATAGGCATACTGCAAATATTTCTCAAATAAATCAATTGTTTATTTTTTTTCATTTGAGACAGGGTCTCAGTCTTTCACCAAAACTGGAAAGCAGGGGTGTGATCACAGCTTCCTGCCTCCCAAGTACCCAGGACTTCAGGCATACACCACCACACCTGGCTAATTTTCTATTTCTCTCTCTCTCTCTCTCTTTCCTTCTTTTTTGGAGAGCTGAGGTCTCCCTATGTTGCCCAGGCTGGTGTTGTCATGTCACATTTCTGGGATCAAGGGATCCTCCCACCTTGGCCTTCCAAAGTGCTGGGATTATAGGCATGACCCACTGTCCGCAACCCAATAATGCCAAAGAAAAGCCACTAAAGAAGGTTAAACTGCAAGAGACAGGATGGAATGAATGAATCATTCTGGAAAATGAACAGCACAAGCAGTTAAAAATCAACACAAAATGAGGAGAAAAAATGATGGAAGCAATGGACTATATATCCACAGCTCTGGACCGCCTTTCAGCTGAAGAATGGAGCTAATCAAAAGAACTCCGAGTTAAAGGGCTTCAGAGCAGTAACACAAAACATACAGAAATCTGGCCAGTTTCAAACAAAAGCGACGGTTTATTAAGTACCTAACAGATAACCAGGCACTCTGCCTCTGTTCTCATAAGAGCTTTCATGAGCACTTGGCATTCATAGTGTCAATAGCCACTGAACAAACTACTACTACTGAAAGTATGATGTCCAGTGAGCTCAGGGAAGGTTTATACTGTGGATCATTATTGTATTTTTGGTATATGATACTGCCCTGATACATTTAAAAAGTGCTCAATAAATACCTGTTGGGCATTTGTTCTTAAAAGGCTAAAGTCAGAGTACTAAACAGGTAGGAAAATAATTTTTAAAACAATATCATCTATTTAGCATGGTCCTCAAACTTTAGTATGCATGGAAATCAGCTGACAGAATGTTACACAACACAGACTGCTGGGCCCCATTCCCACATTTTTTGGTGCAGTAGATCCAGAAAGGGGACTAACAATTTCCATTTCTAATGAGTTCCCAGGTGATGCTGCTGCTACTAGTTGTGAAGTCCTAATTGCTTTTTTTCTTTCTTTTTTTTTTTTTTTGGAGGTTGGAGGTTGCTGTTCTCTAGCTAGAAAATGCTGGTTCTTTATCAGGAACCTACCCTTTGCTATCTATTACTTTGTATAAAATATCAAGGGAACAAACGCTACTTGATAAAAACAGACACATTTTTTTCAAATTGTTTTACTTACGTTTATTTAAAAGAAAGCATTTTTCTAAATCTATTTTGTTATTACAGTGAAGATGAAATATTGAACACAACTAGAAAATGTTCTTTAAAGTTTGATTTAGATACTCAGATTCCTAACATTTGGCAAAGGAATGTGATAGTGACAGATCCCAAAACATAAAAACATGAGCAACATGTCATAAAATGCACACTAAAACCAAAGTCAAGCCAAAATAAGACATAACTTCATTCACTAGGTCCCTGAAGACCTCCAGCCTCCTGTTTGCATCCTTATCACAAAACCTAGGATGGTTATAATAAAAAAGACAACAACAAGTGTCGGTGAGGATGTGGAGAAGCTAGGACCTCATACAATGCTGCTGGGACTGTAAAATGGTATAGCCATTTTGGAAAACAGTCGGACAGCTCCTCAAAAGATTAAGCATAGTTACAATATGACCCAGAAATTCTATTCCTGAGTAATATTCAAAGGAATTGTCCATATAAAAACTTGTACATAGATGCTCACAGCAGCATTATTTGTTACAGCAAAAAAGTGGAAGCAACCCAAACGTCTACCAACCAATGAATGAATTAACAAAATGTGGCATATCCATGCAATGGATATTACTCAGCAATAAAAGTACATGAAGGACTGATACACGCTACAACATACATGAACTTTGAAAATGTTGTCAAAGAAGCCAGTCATACAATATGTGGTCACAAAAGACCACAGGGTTTCTTTTTGGAGTAATGTAAATGTTCTAAAATTAACTGTGGTGATGGTTGTAGAAATCTGAATATACTAAAAATCATTAAACTGTACATTTTAAATGGGCAAATTGTATGGTGGGTGAATTATGTATCAATTAAGCTATTACAAAATCAAACCAACCAACCAAAAGAGACGGAAATTTTGAAAACTGTAACAATGGGATAGACATATCAGACAGAGGAACAAAAAACTGGCAAACTGAATATTGCTTTTTGACAATTTAAATCAAAAAACATCACAAGGGTAGAAAAAGGAACATTATATACTGATAAGGAACAGCAGATAGGGATGTAGAGATATGTCCGTTTCTGTACCTAGTAATAATATAGATTTGAATTTTTTTTTAAGACGAAGTCTCACTGTGTTCCCCAGGCTGGAGTACAGTGGCGCAATCTCGGCTCACCACAACCTCCGCCTCCTGGGTTCAAGTGATTCGTCTTCCTCAGCTTCCTAAGTAGCTGGGACTACAAGTACCTGCCACCATGCCTCACCTTTTTTTTTTTTTTTTTTTTTTTTTTTGTATTTTTAGTAGATACAGGGTTTCACCATGTTAGGATGGTCTCTATCTCCTGACCTCGTGATCTGCCCGCCTCAGCCTCCTGAAGTGCTGGGATTACAGGCGTGAGCCACCGCACCTGGCCTAAATTTGAAATTTTTAAAGCAACAACTGACAGAACAACAGAAGTTTCAGGACACCTGGAAAGGTTAGCTCCAGAAAGATTAAAGACCTAAATGTAAACGGAAAAATTATAAAGCTAATAGAAGCAGCTGTGGAAAATATCTTTTTAACCATCCACAATGGCTTTTTTGAACCATGTGTTTAAAAAATAAACCCCCCCACACAACAAAATGATGTATTTGATTACATTAAAATTAAAGATTTCTGTATAAAGAATGGCAACAGATAGGACAGAGGTGTATGGAAACCAATGGATGATTATATAAAAACTTCTCCAAATCCACAGTAGTAAAATAACATGAAACTAAATTAAAAAAATAAATAAACCAAATAGATGAACTGGCTATTCATGGGAAAAATCTGAACAGCTGAAAAATATAGAGTTACTCAAGAAAAATGTAAGTAAGTACTTCAGGACAAGGGCTATTAAAAAAAATGTAAAAACGAGAGATTACTTTATACTCATCAGGCAAATAAGACAGCAGGGTAATTCCAAGTGTTGCCCAGAACCTCAGGATACAGGAGTCCTCGGACATAAGACAACCTAGCAGTGGTGTTGCAGAGACCACACATTTACAATCCTCAGTATCCAGAGAAACAGGTTCCCAAAGGGACGTGGGAGTATGTGATCTGGAATCCTATCTAGAGTGTCAAGGGGATGAAGGCAATGGAAGTAGCTACCACTTGGTGAATTGATGAGTAAAACACAGCCAATCATACAACAATATGTAAGTTTCCCCAACAATGAACTACATATAGAAAAAATGCGTAACCGTCTAGCTTGCAACCTGCTTCCTCCACACTATTCCAGTATACAGATTCATAAAATTCATATCCCAAGATTGTCATTTTGATTGTTTCCAAAATTTTGCTATTAGGATGTAGCCATAAAAAACCCTGTTAAATTATTTGTAGCACAATACAGAGAGTTCTTTAAAATATGGTACTGAATTTTTTAAAAGCAAGTTTAAGGTAGAGTATCATTTTGGCACATGAAAAACACATACATACACAAAATAACACTACATTATCTTTCAAGGATATACACATATCCAGGCAAATATTAACCACAGGAGAGTGGACGTCTGTGAGGAAAAAGAGGAGAGTGACAGAAAAGAGAAACAAAACAGGTCTTACACCCAGCAGCGCCAAGTGTCACAAACTAAGGAGTGCCAGAACTCAACCCAGCATATGAGGTTAAAAACAGGGTGGCTTTCATCTGAACAAAACATAATCTTGTTTTTCAAAGACACGCATACACGCTTGAACCACAGCATTCCAAGAAAGCAACAAGAACACGTACCTGTGCAATAGGACACGCCTTTGCAAGTAGCATTAATTGCCTCCTGGCACTTCTTCTGGGCAGTCTCAAACTGACAGTTTTTACAGCAAGGACTGTTCCTATCACTGGAGAAGAACAGCAGACAGGAATAGTTCAATTCAAATTATAGCCCCATATCATACGCTACAGTTATGTTACAGCAACCTGAAGATCACAGGGGAAGGCCTCCTGGCTCTGTTGCCCACTCCTACATCATCAGACATCTCTGCTGCTAGAGCTACCTGCACATACTTTCCTAATATGCATAAGTACACATCAATGCCACACTGTAACAGAAAAGAATGGGAACACAGCAGTCACCTTTGAAACATCTTGGTGTCCTTGGTTTGCATTCATTTAATGCATTAATTTTAAAAAGACAAGATGGGCTGGGTGAAGTGGCTCATACCTGTAATCTCAGCACTTTGGGAGGCCAAGGTGGGTGGATCACCTGAGGTCAGGAGTTCAAGACCACCCTGGCCAACATGGTGAAACACCATCTCTACTAAAAATACAAAAATTAGCCAGGCATGGTGGTGCACTCCTATAATGCCAGCTACTCAGGAGGCTGAAGCAGGAGAATCGCTTGAACCCGGGAAGCGGAGGTTGCAGTGAGCCGAGATCGTGCCACTGCACTCCAGCCTGGGCAACAAGAACGAAACTCTGTCTCAAAAAGAAAAAAAAAAAAAAAGACAAGATGGGGCCACAAGTAGACAGTAGGCGGCCAAACAAGTAGGCAGCCAGAACTCTATTCCCCCTTCATATTTACAGTGTCAATATGCACAGTATCCAGTTATATCTCCAAGAAACTGAAGTTTAACTCTTTGCTTCTAAGCCAGGCACTGGTCTGAAAAAGTAGGTAACATTTTCTTTTTTTCTTTCTGAGACAGTCTCGCAGGAGAATGGCTTGAATTCAGGAGACAAGAGGTTGTAGTGAGCCAAGATCGCACCATTGCACTCCAGCCTGGGCGATAGAGCAAAACTCTGTCTCAAAAAAATTAAAAAAAAATTAGGCCGGGCGCGGTGGCTCAAGCCTGTAATCCCAGCACTTTGGGAGGCCGAGGCGGGTGGATCACGAGGTCAAGAGATCGAGACCATCCTGGTCAACATGGTGAAACCCCGTCTCTACTAAAAATACAAAAAATTAGCTGGGCATGGTGGTGCGTGCCTGTAATCCCAGCTACTCAGGAGGCTGGGGCAGGAGAATTGCCTGAACCCAGGAGGCGGAGGTTGCGGTGAGCCGAGGTCGCGCCATTGCACTCCAGCCTGGGTAACATGAGTGAAACTCCGTCTCAAAAAAAAAAAAAAAAAAAAATTAAAAAAATTTAAAAAGATTATTTGGGCCAGGTATGGTGGCTCACACCTAGAATCTCCATTCTTCAGGAGGCCCAGAAGAGTGGATCAATGAGTCCAGGAGTTTACCACCAGCTTGGGCAACACGGCAAAACCGAATCTCTACAAAAATTACAAAAATTAGTCAGGCCTGTAGTCCTATCTACCTGGGAGGCTGAGGTGGAAGGACTGACCCCTGGGAAGTTGAGGCTACAGTGAGCTATGATCGTGCCACTGCACTCCATCCCAAGCAACAGAGACCCTGTCTCAAAAAAATAATAATAATAAAGATTCTTTTAACTATAGGACTGCTAAGCCAAGGAGCATGCAAGGTCAAGGATTTTGTTACATAATGTCACACTGCTTTCCAGAAAGCTTCTTTTCTTGTTTTTAAAGGGACAGTGTCCCACTATGCTGCCCAGGCTGTTCTCAAACTCCTGGGCTCATGCAATTCTCCCACCTCAACCTTCCAAAGTGCTGAGACGACAGGAGGGAGCCACTGTGCCCGGCCCAGAAAGCATTTTCTGGCTCTGTAGGGCAAAAGAGGTAAAGGTAAACAAATACACCCCTTTCAGTTGATTCTAAAGCCCCTGCAAGTTCAGTCTTCTATTCTTTTGGACATCTTGTTATACCAACTTCCCAAAATCGCTGTGGAAAGATTCCTTACCTGCACTGGACACCTTGCTTCAACATGCAGTCACTGTTGCAGCAGGTGTCACTGTTCAGGTACATGATGCCAGGATCGCACTCTTCTCCTTCATCCACCCTCGAGTTCCCACACACCTTATTGCTGCGTTCTTGAAAACACTCCTGGGCCTTACTTTCAATGGTCTTATAAATTGATTGTTTACTGCAGTTTGAAAACATCTTGAGAGAAAAAAGACAATAAGGACCCAAAATAACATCATAAAAATTTATTACCATGCAATGTTTGTGCATCTTCTCTAGAGACGAACTCTTAATGTAAAATCTTCATCAGAGCCACCCCGAAGTTATGGCCATCACAGTCCCCTCCAAAGGCCACTGACATAGAACTGAGAACCTCCCTCTGTAGAATGCTAAACAGCTGCTGTGAACTTGGTTAAGGATCTAAAATTCCTCATATGAAGGTAAGCAAGCTATACAAATACTGAGGCCAAACATCCCAGCCATAGCCCTCTTGAAGACAAGCAGTCTAGCACAACAAGAGCTTGTAATTCCATCAGACTTGAAATCTCCCCACCTCAGGTATTCCACTCATGCAGTGACATAAAAACTAGGGAGGTTACCGCCGTCCCAGACAAAACAATTCAGAAATGCAGAAGGGGTTTCCTCTCCTTCCCTGGCTACTTATACGGATGATCCAGGTTTAAGGTGTTTAAATATTTGAGCTTAGTAATAGGCACGATAGTACATTTTACATAAGTTAAATCCCAAATTGTTACCTAAACATTTTCATTGACCAGCCAAGATTAAGTTTCTGAGTTTTTCCACAGTTGACCAGTGTTTCAAAAAAAGTCTCTACACTAGCTTCCCACCCTGGAGTACAGAACCACTAGGATAGCTCCCTTTTAAGTCTGAGGGTTTTACCAGTAGCGCTAAAACTGAAGTCATTTTCCAGACCTCCTGAGTTATCGGAAAAAGGATAAAGAGGCTTAGGGAAAACTGAGTTAGTTACTTCTTAGGGGAGCGTCTCCAAAGTGTTCTGCAGATGCCAAAATGGCTTCACTTTCACCCCAGATAACAATCATGAAACCCCTGAGAGCCAAGAGTATGAGACCTTCCAAAGGTGCCTATAATTACTGAATCAGACACCAGAGGAGTTACTTCCAGAAAGACGCAAAGACCTCATCTTAAACAGAAATACTAACTAGCTTTTTAAAAACATCTTCAAATCTGATTTTACAGTACAGATGTCTTGTCTAAGGGATCTGGTTATTCTAATCTGGGTCTCGAGCAGTTGGCATTTTGGTGGGTTCATTCATCAGCATCCATGTATCTCTGGGCTCCATTTTATCAGGTTAAAATGGAGTTAAAATCCACAGTGAACAGGTAAGACCTCTTCACTGATTTGTCAGTTACAACTCCCAAGCAGGTGGAGAAAACTAAGGAAAAAAGGACTAATTCTCAACTCTGGCTTTCTGCCTACATATCCCTGAAGACCTGGTGGCTTCTGTTTGTATCCTTGTCATAAGATCTCCTGTTCCTCCAGTAAACCTTCCTAAGAAGTTACAATCTCAAAGGTCCTACATTCCTTTTCACTAATGTCATCTGTCCATAGTGAAGTAGGACTGTCTAGTAGAGAGTGACAGATTCTGTCTTTCTAGGTCAAGGAACTAGTTTATTTTTTGTCTTGCATCCCTTTTCATCTAGTTAAAAATATTTTTAATAAGAAATTCATTTAAGACATAGGCCGGGCACAGTGGCTCACATCTGTAAACCCAGCACTTTGGGAGGCTGAGGTGGGGGGGATCACCTGAGATCAGGAGTTCAATACCAGCCTGGCCAACATGGTGAAACCCCATCCTACTAGAAATATAAAAATTAGCCAGGCATGGTGGCGTGCGCCTGTAACCCCAGCTACTCAGGAGGCAGAAGCACAAAATCGCTTGAACCTGGGAGGTGGAGGCTGCAGTGAGCCGAGATCGCGCCAGTGCACTCCAGCCTGGGCGACAGAGACTCCATCTCAAAAAAATAATAATAATAAAACAGGCCAGGCGCGGTGGCTCACGCCTGTAATCCTAGCACTTTGGGAGGCCGAGGCGGGTGGATCACGAGGTTAAGAGATCGAGACCATCCTGGTCAACATGGTGAAACTCCGTCTCTACTAAAACTACAAAACATTAGCTGGTCATGGTGGCGCGTGCCTGTAATCCCAGCTGCTCAGGAGGCTGAGGCAGGAGAATTGCCTGAACCTAGAAGGCGGAGGTTGCGGTGAGCCGAGATCGCGCCATTGCACTCCAGCCTGGGTAACAAGAGTGAAACTCTGTCTCAAAAAAAAAAATAATAATAATAATAATGATAATAATAATAAAACATAGAAGATGCACGTTGTCTTCTTACAAGGGGATTCAAACTAGAAAAACACAGGCTAAATATGATGTGCTCAGGACAAAATAAATAAACAGTCCTTCACTGACACAGACTGGCAGCCCCAGAAAAAAACAGTTCTACCAAGGACACTTTCTCATTAGCAGGCTCTTTTTCTTCTTTTTCCTTTTTCTGAGACAAAGTCTCACTCTGTCATCCAGGCTGGAGTGCAGTGGCACAACCTTGGCTCACTGCCGCCTCGAACTCCCTGGCTCCTTCCTGCCTTAGCTTCCTGAGTAGCTGGGACTACAAGCATGTGCTTTTATGCCTGGCTAATTTTTGTATTTTCTGTAGAGACGGGGTTTCACATGTTGCCCAGGCTGATCTTGAACTCCTGTGCTCAAGTGATCTGCCCACCTTGGCCTCTCAAAGTGCTAGGATTACAGGTGTGAGCCACCATGCCTGGCCTCAATGGCAAGTTCTTACAAGGGTGTTTTGAATAGACTCGTGGCAGGAAAAGTGGCAGGAGAACTTGTGGCAGGAAAAGTTAGCAACACGCATGTCCACTCAGGCAGTCTGCAAAGTAAAATACTTCCATCCAAAGTTCTGATACTATCCTCATAACCAAGAAGCATATGACCTATTACCTAGAGAAATAGTATGCAATGTGGTAGCCACCAACTGTACGTGACTACTTAAATTGTTCCTAGTCACATATTTTACACTTTCGATTACAGAAATATTCAAGCACCTATGAAATAGACAGGATGGTATCATGAATGTCCTCATGCCCCTCACCAGCTTCAACAATGATCAGCTCATGGCTTCACAGCTCCTCTATATCTGCACTACTTTTCCTCTGCTCCCACACTGGCATTTTTGTTTGTTGGCTTATTACAACTTTACTAAGACATTTCACATATCACGAAATTCACCCATTTCAGGTACATAATTCTGTGATTTCTAATAACTTTACCAAGTGTTGAAACCATTGCCATAGTCACTTTTAGGACATTGCCATCCTTCCAGTCATGTCACTCATGTCCTTTTTACAGCTAATGCCCATTCCCACCTCCCATCACAGGCAAACATTATTAAAAATTTAAATAAAATAGAATTTAAAATTCAGTTCCTCGGTTTCTAGCCACATTTCAATTGCTCCACTAGGCTAGTGGCTACTATACAGGGCAGAGCAGACGCAGAATATTCCCCACCCCACAGCAGAAAGTTCTACTGGACAACACTGAACTAGAACGATCATGATTAGAAATGCAAGACTTAGACTGGGTGCAGTGACTCGTGCCTGTAATCCCAGCATTTTGGGAGGCTGAGGCGGGCGAATCACAAGGTCAGGAGTTCCAAGACCAGCCTGGCCAATATGGTGAAACCCTGTCTCTACTAAAAAATACAAAAATTAGCCAGGCCTGGTGGCACACGCCTGTAGTCCCAGCTACTTGAGAGGCTGAGGCAGGAGAATCCCTGGAATCCAAGAGGCAGAGGTTCCAGTGAGCCAAGATCATGCCACTGCACTCCAGGCTGGGTGACAGAGTGAGACTTTGTCTCAAAAAAAAAAAAAGAAAGAAAGAAATGCAGAGACTTTAAAAAGAGAAGGAAAATTCAACAGTTTGACAAGTTGAAAGAGTAGACAAAAAGGGATAGAAAAATGTTTCTCAGGTACAAGTTGACAAGCAGAAGAAAAATAAAACATAACATGCAAAGTAACAGGAAGGAAGAGTTTACACATAACAGCCAAAGAAAATGAGATGTAGAAAATATACATAAAAAGCCAAAGAAAATGATATGCAATAATCAAAGATCACTAAAAAAACAGGAGGAAGAAATTTTAGACAGCAGGATGTCAGAGCCAGGGAAAAGCAGAAGTAATCCTTCCCTCTAGGTCCAGGGCAGACTTGCACATTAGCCCACAGTCTGGCTCAAAATAGGAGTCAGGACAAATACTTCACAATCTTTTGTGATTAGAATCAGACCCCTTTACGCCCTCCCCGCCAGCGTCCTTTAACTCAGCAGCTCAACTACTGTTTTCCTCACACTGCTTTATGCTGTTTGACTTCAAATAAAATGAAAGAACCAGAAATTTATTAACAAAACTTTTAGTTCAGACTCTAAGAGTTAGTCACAGCACTCTTAAAGTCTCTGAAAGTGTTTTACAATATCCCAAATCAACTAGTATACTCTATCAGAAACCCTCAACAGTAAATGATTCAATTAATTACTCAACAAGTATTTATTACATGCCAGGTACTCCAATGAGGTACTGGAGATACAGCTGATAACAACACAGACAAGGGCCTTTCTCCCATGAGGCTTGTAGTCAGGCAAACTACGTATTTTATTGTGAAAGTTAATAAAAACATGTAAATTGTACAACAGAGTTAAAATGAATGAGAACTATGAGAAATTTTTAACATAAAGCCTGAGCCCACCAGACTCTGAAATCCGAGCTCCAACAAAAGCCATTATTATTAATTTTTCCTAGAGCTCAAATCTACACCATTAATCCTGACAACAAAGTCCAAATGATAGTTTTAACCAGATTTAGATGGACCATGCTTCACCCCAAAACACACAGCCACGTTTCAAGGTACTATGTAATTTGCAGATCCATCCCTAGGAAAACACCTAGGAATGGAATGGGTTTCTGAGATCTCATTATGATCATTATACACAACCTCTTTCCTAACCACATACTGTACAAAATTCTCAACACATACATACCTTATTGTTCTCGTGATCACCACTCACAGCTATGGGAAACATGACATATTTTCCTCCCTGGTCCTCATTCGGGGCACATTCTGCTAGACCATCCGGATCATGTTCCGCTCCAAAATTGTGTCCCAATTCATGAGTTGTAACCAGGTCAGCTTCCTTAAGGATCATGCAAAGAAAACATTATTTCTCAATATCCAACCATCACCTTCTTCTGCCAGTTGGGCCTATGCTGTCTTAAATAGAGTCTTATAATCAGATCAACAAGAGAATAAGAACTGCATGCTTATAATCCCAGCACTTTAGGAGGCTGAGATGGGAGGATTACTTGACTCTAGGAGTTCAAGGCCAGTCTGGGCAACATAGGGAGACCCCTATCTCTACAAAAGTAATAAAAATATTAGCCAGGCATGGTGGTGCACACCTATGGTCCCAGCTACTTGGGAGGCTGAGGTGAAAGGATCACTTACACCCAGGAGGCGGAGACTACAGTGATCTATGATCACACCACTGCACTCTAGCCTGGGTGACAGAATAAGATTTTGTCTCAAAAACCGGACTATGATTTCTTCTACCAATTATAGGAATTTAACAGAGTAACTAGGATTCTATTTGATACTATCAAATAGTACTATTAGTAACTTAAATCAAGAAAATATAATTTATAAGATATACTGGAACATTCATAACAAAACATCAAACCTTGGCCATTCTAGCCACACACAATCTGGTGCTGATAAACGCAATAGCTAACTGCAGTTAACTGTCAAGCCTCCTCACATGCCCCTCAGCCCAATCACACGCCTATTAAACCCTAAAGCATCATCCAATCAGAGGATGAATCAGTCAAGTTAAAAAAAAAAAAAAAGGAAAAAAGAAAAGAAAACCTAAAGCATCTCAGCAGAAAGGAAAAAAAAGCAAGGGGTAAAAAAAAATAACACGGCCAGGCATAGTGGCTCACGCCTGTAATCCCAGCACTTTGGGAGGGCAAGGCGGGTAGATCACCTGAGGTCAGCAGTTCAAGACCAGCCTAGCCAACATAGTTAAACTCCATCTCTACTAAAAATACAAAAAATTAGCCTGGTGTGGTGGTGGGTGCCTATAATCCCAGCTACTTAGGAGGCAGGGGAATTGCATGAACCTGGGAGGTGGAGATTACAGTGAGCTGAGATCATGCCATTGCACTCCAGCCTACGCAATAAGTAGGAAACTCCAACTCAAAAAAAAAAAAAAAAAAAAAAAAAAACACAATAAACAAAGAAAACACAACTGAGGAATAACAAAACAATGTTTTATTTTCTCAATGACTGAATTCATGTCCAACAACAATCTTAATGACCTAGAGGACTTGGTCTATTTAGAATCCAGTTGCAGGGCTGCACTTAATCTATCAGATTATTAGATGATTTCTATATGAATAATAATAAATTTTGCCAACAAACCTAAATTTTTTTTCCATATTTATCTGAATAAAATAAGAATATCAAACTTAAAAGCTGGGCACAGTGACTCACACCTGTAATTCCATCACTTTTGGGAAGCCAAGGCCAGCGGATCACTTTAAGTCAGGAGTTCGAGACCACCCTGGCTAACATGGTGAAACCCTATCTTTATTAAAAATACAAAAACTAGTCAGGCATTGTGGCGGGCACCCGTAATCCCAGCTACTTTGGGGGCAGAGGTAGGAGAATCGCTTGAACCTGGGAGGCAGAGGTTGCCATGAGCCGAGATAGGCCACTGAACCCCATTTTGGGCAACAGAGCAAGAGTCTTTAAAAAAAAAAAAAAAAAAAAAAGAATATTAAACTTAAAATTCCTGATTTCTTTTTTCCTAAGGGAGGGAAAAAATCACTCCATGGAACGTAAAAAAAAAAACAGTATTTTGCAAGTTATTTTTCTATACAAGAAGTCTTTCCACATGTTTATATTAAAACCATAGTGGGGCAAAAAAAACCTTAAATTTTTAGCAAAAGCACTCAAATCCCAAAGGTATAATGTGGAGAAATATCTCCTAACTGCTTTGGGAAAATTCATTAGTGGATTTGCTAATGAATCTAAAAATATCTCAAAAACTTCTAATCAAATTTCTTTTTTGTTTTATGTGTTTTTTAAGAGAAAAATTTCAGAAGACCAAAGAAAATATGTCATGAAATCAAACTATTAAGAAGTTGTGACTCCAAAAAAGTAAAGGAGCATGAGCTATTATGCACACATATGTATGTTTCTGTTCATGGTTTCTGGCTTATAACCCTCCATAAGTCCTGGTTACAGTCTTCTGTTACAATGTTGGGTGCTTTAGGGGTCAGAAGCAGTCCTCAGGAAACAAAATCTTTCTCTGACCTTCTCATGTCCTCCTTTTACCTGTTCCAAGGCAGGACACTAATCTGATTGTGGGTCAGAAGACCCTCATTCTCATTCTGGAGAGGGTCCTGCCCATTACTGTGGAGGAAGGAAAGCTGCAGAGAGGTCAAGGAGAATCTGGACAGGCCTTGGAGGTTTCCCCCATTAAGTCTATTAGTATGAGAACATACCCATTTTGTCCAATCACATTTCTACACGGTTGTCATTCATGCTTACGTAATGAAGCCTCCAAAAAATCCCAAAGGACAGGATTCAGAGCTTCCAGAGAGCATTCTGAATATGTGGAGGTTGACAGGAAGGTGCAGAACTCATTCACGTGCCAGGAGGGAGGCACATCCCAACTCCACAGGGACAGAAGCTCCTGTACTTGGGACCCTTCCAGACCTTGCCCTATGTAGCTCTTCATTTGGCTATTTCTTTATATCCTTTCTTTTTTTTTCAGTTTTTTATTTTTTGGTGCAAAGCCTCCCTCTGTTGCCCAGGCTGGAGTGCAGTGGGGCAATTTCAGCTGACTGCAATCTCCACCTCCCAGATTCAAGTGATTTTCCTGCCTCAGCCTCCTGAGTAGCTGGGATTATAGGCGGGCACCACCACACCTGGCTAATTTTTGTATTTTCAGTAGAGACAGAGATGCACCATGTTGGCCAGGCTGGTCTCAAACTCCTGACTTCGGGTGATTTACCCACCTCGGCCTCCCAAAGTAGTGGAATTACAGGCATGAGCCACCGTGCCCGCTTCTTTGTATCCTTTAAAATATCCTATGTCATAAACCCGTAAATGTAAGTTAAGTATTTCCCTGAGTTATGTGAGCCACTTGAGCAAATTAATCGGACCCAAAGAGGAGGTCGTGGAAACTCCAACTTGAAGCCAGTTGGTCAGAAGTTCTGGAGGCTCAGTTGTAACTGGTGGGAGGAGGAAACAGTCAGTCTTGTGGGACTGACACTCAAGCTGTGAGATCTGCCACTATTTCTGGGTGCATAGTGTTTGAATTGCATTGGAGGACACCTAGCTGATGTCTACTGTTTGACATGTGGGGTTTTGGTCTGGTCACAGAAGTCTTCTGTGTTGATGTTGACTGTTTTGACATGACAACAGAGAAAAACACGGTTTGAGAGATTTTTTTTTCCCTAAAACAAAGTACAATAAGAAAAATAAATTTAGAAATTAAAAGGTTCCCAAAAACTAATCTTTTTTTCTCATACCACTTTACATTTTGTTTTTGTTTTTGCTTTTTGCTTTAAGACACAGGGTCTCATGAAGTTGCTCAGGCTGGAATGCAGTTGGTATTCACAGATGCAATTATCATACTACAGCCTCTAACTCTTGGCCTCAAGTGATGCTCCCACTTCAGCCTCCTGAGTAGCTGGGACTATAGGCTCCTGCCACCAGCTGTGGCTGTTTTTAAATCACCCAAAGTCCACAGTTTATGTTAGCATTCATGCTTGTGTTGTATATTCTATGTGTTTCAACAAATGCATAGTATCTTATACTGACAAAGCATCATACAGAGTAGTTTCCCGCCCTCCACCTATTCATCCCCCCTTCCTCCAACACCTAGCAATCACTGATTGTTTTATAGCTTGCACAGTTTTGTCTTTTCCAAAATGTCATATATTTGGAATCACATAGTATGTAGCCTTTCAGATTGGCTTATTTCACTTAGTAGTATGCTTTTAAGGTTCTTCTATGTCTTTTCATGTCTCGATAGCTTTTTTATTCTCATTGTATGGATGTGCCAGTTTATCCATTCACCATCTGAAGGATATCTTAGTTGTTTCCAAGTTTTGTCAATTATGAATTAAGCTGCCATAAACATTCTTATGGCCAGGTGTGGTGGCTCACAACTGTAATCCCACCACTTTGGGACGTCAAGGCAGGCAGATGACCTGAGGTCAGGAGTTTGAGACCAGCCTGGCCAACATGGTGAAGCCCCAACTCTGCTAAAAATACAAAAATTAGCCAGGCGTGGTGATGCACGCCTGTAATCCCAGCTACATGAGAGGCTGAGACAGGAGAATTGCTTAAACCCAGGAGGCGGAAGAGGCAGTGAGCCAAGATCGCGGCATTGCACTCCAGCCTGGGTGACAAGAATGAAGCTGCATCTCAAAAAAAAAAAAAAAAAAAAAAAGAGAAAGAAAGAAACTGCCAAACTGTCTTCCAAAGTGGCTGCTCCATTTTGTATTCCCACCAGCAATTAATGAAGAATTCCTGTTGCTCCACGGCCTTGTTGGAATTGTGTTACCAGTGTTTGGGATTTTAGCCACTCTAATAGGCTACCAGTAATAGCTCATTGTTGTTGGGTTTCTTAAAAAGTTTTTTATAGAGATGGGGTCTCACTAATGTTGCCCAGGCTCGTCTCAAACTCCTGGGCTCAAGCAATCCTCCCACCTCAGCCTTCTGAGCAGCTGGGACCACAGGCGTGTACCCCTGTACCCGGCTTCATTGTTAATTTGCAATTTCCTAATGACATATGACATTGAGCATCTTTTCATATAATTCTCTGCTATCTGAACATCTTTGAAGGTATCTGTTCTGCTCTTTTGTCTATTTTTAAACTAGGTTGTTCATTTTCTTATTGTTGAGTTTTAAGAGTTCTTTATACATTTGGAAATTTTACGTTATTTTTTTTTTAGTTTTGTAGAGACAGGGTCTACAATCTTGTTCAGGTTAGTTTCAAACTCCTGTGCTCAAGTGATTCTCCTGCCTTGGCCTCCCAAAGTGCTGGAATTATAGGAATGAGCCATCATGCCTGGCCTCTTTGTATATTTCAGATAGCAGTCTTTTCTCAGATGTGTCTTTTGCAAATATTTTCCGGTACCCTACACCAAGTATAAACATACATCAAGTATAACGTCATAGTCAAAATATCAGTATATCAGCCAGCACTTTGGGAAGCCAAGGTGGGTAGATCACTGGAGGTCAGTGGTTCATGAGACCAGCCTGGCCAACAGGGTGAAACTCGGTCTCTACTTAAAAAAAAAAAATACAAAAATTAGCTAGGTGTGGTGGCAGGCACCTGTAATCCCAACTACTTGCGAGGCTGAGGCAGGAGAATTGCTTGAACTTGGGAGGCAGAGGTTACAGTGAACCAAGATGGTGCTACTGCACTCGAGCCTGGGCCACAGAGCAAGACTCTGTCTCAAAAACAGTAAGAATTAAAAATCAGTATATCAGATCCTAATATTTCCTACCAATATCTACTCACCCCTTCTTTCTTACTTAATGAGCCCTAATTTTGCTCAAGGCAGCAATATACTCAGCTAAAATAGCTACCTTTCCACATTCCATTGAGGGAAACGGCAGCCATGTGACCTAGTGCTGTCCAGTAAGATATAAACAAAAGCCAGGATGGGGCTTTCAGAGAAGTTTTTTAGAAGGGCCAGATTAGGCTAGCCATGTTCTCTTTCTCCTCCTTTCTCCAGCACAGAACAGAGCCATCTTACAATCGTGAGGTGACGTACATGAGAACAAAGGCCTCCTGCTCATTCTTGAGTCCCTGAGGGCACCTCAGTTGCTGTACCACCCAGAAAATGCTATCCCTGAACGTCTTGTTGACTGAGACAGATAAACTCCTTATATAAACCACTGCTTATTTAATTTTCTGTTATTTGTAGTCAAACACATTTTAACAGACAGAGCTGGAGAAAAACAAAATCTTAAGACCTTCCAGAGAAAAAAACAGGTGACATACAAAGATACGAACTCAAAATGACTTCCGACTCTTTAAAAGCAATATGCACAGAAGACCATAGAGAACATGAGAACTGAGAATATACTCAGCCAAAATTATCAATCAGACTTAAGAGTGGAATAAAAACATTTTTCAGATATGTGAAATTCCAACAACTCGCAGGTCATATATCTTTTCTTAGGAAGTTCCTGCAAGCTACACTACACCAAAATGATGGCGCTGAAAAAGAGGGAGACCATGGGGTTCTGGAAATAAGAAGGTGTGGGATGCCTTGAATGACAGCTACACCACAGGACTAGGAAACAGGGAGCTCTAAGAGGAGCTACAAGTCAGAGGGCTCCAGGAAGGAGGGGCTCAAGAAAAGCAGCAGTCCTCACACGTTTCAAAAGAAGGCTGACAGGCCATTTTTATTTTCTTCTTTATACTTTTTCATATATCCCACAAAAATACATAAATTTTATTTAGGCAGAAATAAAAAAGCAGTATATATTACATTTTTAAAAAAATACCTACATGGTCAGGCGCAGGTGCTCATTCCTGTAATCCCAACACTTCAGGAGGCCAAGGCAGGCAAATCATGAGGTCAGGAGTTCGAGACCATCCTAGCCAACATAGTGAAACCCCATCTCTACTAAAAATACAAAAATTAACCGGGCGTGGTGGTGCACACCTGTAATCCTGGCTACTCAGGAGGCTGAAGCAGGAGAATGACTTGAACCTGGGAGGCAGAGGTTGCAGTGAGCTAAGATCACGCCACTGCCCTTTAGCCTGGGCGACAGGGTAAGGCTGTCTCGGAGGGAAAAAAAACTACATAAATATATAACTGAGGTTCTACTACAATAAACTCTAACACTATCCTTTTAAAAATAAAAGAACGTACCTTTGTAAGGATGGTTTTACCGTAATTCTTTGTGCTGGTCAAACCACTATTCAAATAGATATTTTTCTTCCCAGTTGGGCTATAATAAGCTAAAATCAAAAGGAAACAGAGATAAACTGCTTATTAAATACAGAATTACAATATAATCCAATCAGCATATAATCCCAGCATCATATTCACACAAGAAACAAAAAAACTTACCCTTTGGACAAACGCCTCCATGGCTGTTTGCTCTGGGAGAGCCAACATAAGCTAATCCAAGAGTTCCCATATCAAAATCTTGGTATGTGAAAAGGTGTGCCAAGCAAACTTTAGATGCTTCCTCAGCTATATCAAAGCTGAATTGCTTTGAAAGACAAAAAAAAAAAAAAAAAAAAAAGCATTCTTAATTTGATTAACAATTACATCAAACGAAAGGATGTAATCTAAATCAACTAAACATTCCAGAACAGAACCATGATGGCTCGCAGCTCAGCACCTAGTGCAGTGCGTTGCCCTTTCCCTGAAGTGCTCCTCCACCTGCACAGGTGAGAGGCAGACACTGTCATCCGGAAAGGGGCACAAAAGGGAAGAGCCCAGAAGCTTGTTCCAACCGTTCAGAACTAACTGACTGTTCCTTTGAAGGCTGTTCTGAAGACATACAGCCCAGCACTAAAGATGCTCTAATTCGTTAAGGGGGTCTGCAGCATCCTAGACCAAAACAGATCCCTCTCAAGTATTTCAAGGATTCAATTTGTTTTATAGAAAGTTTAATTTTAAACTTTTTTGAGCTTCATAATATAGTCATTTATATAAATATATACTTAGAGAAAAGCATATACACTCAGTTTTATGTTACTAAAATAAAGATTTTAAACCCATTTTAATCAGCACAGCAGGTTTGAGAGGATTTTTTTTCTTAATTTAAAAGGGCTTCATACATTACTTTAAAAACCTCTACCATAATCACCCAGGGTCTCCAAGTTTAAAAATCTTGATTTTTTGGGTTTTATTAATTATTTTTCTTTCTTTGAAACAGGTTCTCGCTGTGTCACCCAGGATAGAATGCAGTGGTGCAATCACGGCTCACAGCAGCCTCGACCTCCCAGGCTCAAGTAAACCTCCCACCTTAGCCTCCCAAGTAGCTGGTACCAAAGGCAGGCATCACCATGCCCGGCTGATTTTTGGATTTTTTTGTACATCACGTTGCCCAAGCTAGTCTTGAACTCCTGGGCTCAAGCGATCCACCAGCCTCAGCTTCCCAAAGTGCTGGGATTACAGGCATGAACCACCATGCCTGGCCAAAAACCCTCAATTTTTAAAATGCTTTAAATGAGAGGCCAGAGAGCCCTGTATGAGGAATGAAGTGTGGCTGCATGGGGATTCTGATAGTTCTGTGGTAAAAGAGTAAGGCTTCTAAGAATATTCTAGGAGCCTTAGGGAAGAAAACTGGAGAGGAACACCTGTCAACACAAGTCATTCTTTATGGTTCCTCCCCTGCCATGGGCTGTCTGGAGGCTCACAGAAAAGCAGACAGGTGCAGTGGTTCAGTTGTTCTAGGAGTCAGGAGATCTGTGCTCAATTCGACCTCTGCTATTAGCAGTCGTATGACTAACCAGACATGTCATTTGATCTTTCTGTTACTAGCTGAACTGTGCCACTCTAAAATTCAAATGTTGAAGTCCTAACCCTCAACAGTACCCCAGAATGTGATTGTATTTGGAAACAGGGCCCTTAAGGAGGTAATTAAGGTAAAATAAGGTCACATGGGTGGGTCTTAATCCAATATGGCTGGTGTCCTGACAAGGAGACCAGAACAGGCCGGGCATGGTGGCTCACATCTGTAATCCAAGCACTTTGGAGGCCAAGGCGGGCAGATCACCTGAGGTCGGGAGTTCAAGACCAGCCTGGCCAACATGGTGAAACCCCACCTTTTTTTTAAAAAAAAAAAAAGAAAAAGAAAAGGAGATCAGAACATAAACACACACTGTGGGAAGGACCGTGTGAGAACACAGGGAGAAGACAGCATCTACACCCCAAGAAGAGTGGCCTCAGAAGAAATCAACCCTGCCAGCCCCTTGATTTTAGACTTCCAGCTTCCAAAACTGCGAGAAACCAAATCTCTGTAGTGCCTCAGCCTGTGCTGCTTTGTCATGGCAGCTGGAATAAACAAACACACTTGCTGAGCCTCTTCACAACAATGATGCTGTCTCAATCAACCTCTCAGGCTGCTCAGCAGATCAAATTAGATAAGGTATGAATGAGTACCACACAGGTGCTACACATTATGCTTCTCTACCTGGATGAAGAGTTGTAATATCCTTTAATTCTATTCAAGCTTTGAAAACTTGATTTCAGCCTCATGAGACCCTAAACAGAGAATCCAGATGAGCCACACCATACCTGGACCAGCCCATGCAAACTATGAGACAAGTTAAGTTTTGTTCTAAGTTGCTCAGCTTGTGATAATTTGTTAAAGCAACAACAGGAAACTAATACACTTACCGACATATTAAAAGATAAAAACTATCGCTTCATAGAAAGTCATTCTACACCAAAGTAATAGCACACACAAAATCAAGACACTGGAATCACGTGGCAGTATCCTGTTATATGGCAAGACTCCAAATGACATAAAATGACTAAGTTAGCCATCTTAGATTCATCATCAGAATAAAAACAAAAATTTTTAATTCCTGTAGAGAACTTTCAGATCTCCAAGCTATTTGTCTACTGTCCAATACATGTTCATAACCTGTTTAATAATTACTGCCCTAAAGGATAAATTGATAAGCTTCAGAGAGATCTGAGCTAAGTGTGCAGAACAAAACAGTGTGCAAAAACTCTACATATTGAGTACCTATGTTATTTTCTAGAGAAGATCCACTGATTTCCTCATTAGATCCTCAAAGATATTAAGGTTAAGAAGCATTGCTTTATAGCGTTTTTCTTTCTCAGTGTTTTTGTTATTTGTTGTCTGCCCTTCTACACAGGATGGGGTTACAGTTGGATCAGCAGGGGAGACTACTTCTGGGTTTCCATCTTTTCTAACATGCTCCTTCATTAATGCACATACAATCCACAGAAATCACAAAGAAATCAGAAATCACAAATCCAACAGAAATCACAAAGTGGTGTTAGCACCATATATCCAGGATTTCATGGCCTACCTCTAGCAACATCTTCACATCCCAAGCATCCTTTTCTTCATTTGGGTAACTTTTTGCCATATTGTAGTGCTTTTCACCAGGTTTTACCTCTTGTGGAGACTTGAGAATGCGAATCTATACTTAAAGAGATAATACACTTAGAACACTTCCAAAGTCAGTCAGAAGATTCTGAATACTGCATTATTTTATCTGTTCAAAAAAAGAATCATTCTAGAAAAAAAAAATTTAAAACCAAAATTCATAAATTCTTCAGTTCTAATATTCAGTGTTTGAAACAAACAGAGAAGCGTATGGTATGGAAAACACATATGTCAATGAATTAGTTATGATGTTGTAAGTGTACTCCTAAATTTTCATATCCTCCATATTTATTCTGAAAAAATAAGAACTTGGGTTACAGGAGTCTAAAATATTTATTACAATATGTCAATAATTTAGAAAATAATAATAAAACATACATCACTTTGTGCATCGAAGGAATAAAAGACTAAGAATAGAGACTTCTCCTTATACATGCATTTCAGACAAATTCATATTAAGCCTGCTAAGAAGAAGAAAAAAAAGTAACAAAGGCTCCCATTAGTGAGTTTGAGATTTAAAAAAAAAAAAAAAAAGAGGGAAACCATGCTCAGCTCAGAGTTTCTGTGTGTCTCTCCTTCCCTGCCTTCCTGCCTGCCTGCCGGGAAGGCTCATTCTGGTCTCCTCTGCCACCATATGGTAAGCTTACTGGGGTGGACTCTGCAGTTTCAGTGTTGGGTGGTCAAAGTCAAATCTGAGATAGAACTACTTAGAAGGCCACCATGATGCAAATCTAAACCACATCCTCCAACCCATTCTTCATCAGATATAAAGAAGTGCATGTTTTAATCTCCTATATTACTCCTGTATTCCTCAATTGGTTTGAAATGCCTAAAGCAAAAAAAGACTCAATTTATAGGTTCCCTAAAACTCAAACATGATGCAGTATTTATAATAAAAGAAGCAAGGCAGCTTTAGATACATGAACATGAAATACTCTCCTACATACTGTGAAATGAAAAAGCAAGGTGTAAAAGTGTACTGCATAACACCATTGTGTCAAATACAGACATATACATACGCTATACATGCATACGACATCTCTAGAAAGATACATATGAAACTAGTGACATGAATGTCTTTGGGGAAAGGAGCTGGTTTGACAATAAACAGGCTGCAGAGACTTACTTTTCACTGGTTTTTGTACTGTGTATATGTTGCCTATTCAAATAATAACTTAAAAAGAAAATGCAAAATAGTAAATGACAATGAAAAGGGAAAAAGAATTCTTAGTTTTATACAAGTATTATCAAAGTTTAACATTTATAAACATGGTGAATGATTTCAAAAAAATTTTCTTTTAAAAAAAATGTCTGTATTCTGTACTATAGAACTTATAAAAATACGGTTTACTACAAAAAGCCTGGAAAAAATTGATATAACAATTTATATAAGTTACATATCAAAATGTCTCTCTGCCCAAAGCAATACCCCATGTTAGTATAGTCTTTTTAATTAGTCTTAGCAATTTGAAATAATTTTTACTATGAGCTGTTATTAAGATCACATTAATATAACATTGCTAGACACACTCTAGTAACAGATTACAAGGAATCAGAAGGAGATATTTGAGGGGAAAGAACCTAACGTTCTGAATATATAAATACTGCCTTGCAAAGGTACACAGTATTTTTTAGCAAATTCTTCTGACTAAAGAGTCAATGATATGTGTCAGAGTTTTAACTAAAGACTTAAGCATCATCAGAGGGGGAAAAAAAATTACAGAGAATAAAAAGGCCATGAATTCAAAGAAGGAGCAAAGCATAGCAGCATAAAAGGCTTTCTACGTAAAGAGAGACTAAAAACAGAAAACTTCACAATCTAGAACTAATTAACATCAAAAATACTGCATAATTCATCAGAAAAAAATCACTGGCATTTGAGAATACTTATTTACAATTATTGCTAAGAACAAGTTTTTGGGTTTTGAATACAAGTGACAAATATTTACATCACATAACTTAAGAGAGTAATATAAGCCATATCTGTTGATAAATACCTGCTCAATCTGTATTCCGTAGCCTTTAAAACCCGCATTATCCCATGAAGTGTTCCGGTAGATGTCATCAACTCTATCAATTAGTTCTATCTGTGAATATTTAAAAAAGAAAAAAAAAACACATTATGTAGCTCTACCTCTCTTCACAGAGCAATATAAAATCTATGGGGGAAAAAAAATCTCACTTTAGAGAAAATGCCATTGCAAAAGTTTCTACTTTCACAAAAATTAGCATTAAGATGTTACTGTACAAGAGTATTCCCAGCCCTTGGCCCCAAACTTAAAGTGCTGTTACCATAATAAAACAATGGTCCAGGCCGGGCACGGTGGCTCAAGCCTGTAATCCCAGCACTTTGGGAGGTCGAGGCGGGTGGATCACAAGGTCAAGAGATCGAGACCATCCTGGTCAACATGGTGAAACCCCGTCTCTACTAAAAATACAAAAAATTAGCTGGGCATGGTGGTGCGTGCCTGTAATCCCAGCTACTCAGGAGGCTGAGGCAGGAGAATTGCCTGAACCTAGGAGGCAGAGGTTGCGGTGAGCCGAGATTGCGCCATTGCAGCCACAAGAAAAATAAAATTTTAAAGACAATCAATATACCTGAAATACAGCTGACCCTTGAACAACATAGATTTGAACTTCAAGTGTCCACTTATATGTGGATTTCCTTGAGCCTCTGTCACCCGAGACAATATAACCAACCCTTCTTCTTCCTCCTCAGTCTACTCAACATGAAAACGACAAGGATGAAGACCATTAACCACTTCCACTTAGTGAATAGTAAATGTACTTCCTCTTATGATTTTTTTTTTTTTTTTTTTGGTAACACGGTGTTTTTTTGAGACAGGGTCTTGCTCTGTTACCAGGGGTACAATACAGCGGCACGATCATGACTCACTATAGCCTGAATTTCTGGACTCAAGCAATCCTCTCACCTTAGCCTCCTGAGTGACAGAAGGCTACAGGCACATACCACCATGCCCAGCCTTTTTTTTTTTTTCTTTCTTTCTTTTTTTTTTTTTTTTTTGAGATGGGATCTTGCTTTGTTGCCCAAGCTGATCTCAAACTCCTGACTTCAAGAGATCCTCCTGCCTTGGCGTCCCAAAATGCTGGGATTATAGGTAGGAGCCACTGTGCAAATGACCCCTTATAATTTTCATCATAACATTTTCCTTTCTCTAGCTTACTTGATTGTAAGAACACAGTAATAATACATAAAAAAAATACATATTAATCGACTTATTTTATTGGTAAGGCTTTTGGTCAACAGTAGACTATTAGTAGTTAATTTTTTGGACAGTCAAAGTTATACAAGGGCCAGGCGCAGTGGCTCATGCCTGTAATCCCAACATTTTGGGAGGCTAAAGCAGGTGAAGTGCTTAAGCTCAGAAGTTTGAGACCATCCTGGGCAAGTCTCCATCTCTACTAAAAATCAAAAAGTCAGCCAGGAAGGATGGGGAACACCTGTTGTCACAGCAACTCGTGAGGCTGAGGTGGGAAGACTGCTTTGGCCTGGACAACAGAGGCTGCAGTGAGCTATGATTTCATCACTGTACTCCAGCCTGGGCAACAAAGCCTTAAAAAAAAATTAATGAGGATTTTTGACTGCAGAAGGAGGGTCAGTCTTCTAACCCCGTGCACTGTTCCTGGGTCAACTGTATTCCTTTCTAAAAAGAATTCCATCTTCACTCTGTCTCTTGGCAAGTACCTCAAATGCCTTCCCCAGAAACAAGTAAGAGGCTGTGATAGACAACTGCCAACCCTATTCCCCCACTCTCATCCCAAAAAGTTCAGCACTGAGGGACGGGTAAGAAGACAGCCAGAAAGAACAAGGTTCATTTCAGCAATCCTCCTTCTTTTGTTCTCCGATTTGGGAAAACTGGAGAAGAAGGGATAGTATAGTTATGAAGGCAAACAACACAAGAAAGAATAAAATGCGAATTATCTTTTTCTCAAAGAGAAAATCCTACTGTTCAAAAACTGGGTTGATGAGGTTTGTTCCAGCAACTGTGAAACAAGTTTTATCTAAGAAATTGTAAAAAATACAATTTTTAAGACTAGATCTCTCATTATATTCATATTTGTAGTGCAATGAACAAAGAAGTAAAATAAGAGGAACCCCTTAATACAAAACCCAGATTAAGAGAGAAGCTTTTAATTTTTTGAGACAGAGTCTTGCTCTTTCATGATCTCAGCTCACTGCAACCTCTACTTCCTGGGTTCAAGTGATTCTCCTGCCTCAGCCTCCCAAGTAGTTGGGACTATAGGCGCACGCCACCACGCCTGGCTAATTTTTTGTATTTTTAGTAGAGACGGGGTTTCACTGTATTAGCCAGGATGGTCTCAATCTCCTGACCTCGAGATCCGCCCACCTTGGCCTCCCAAAGTGCTGGGATTACAAGCGTGAGCTACCATGCCCGGCCAAGAGAAGCTTTTTTAAGTAAGAATCTCTCTTAGAAACAAGAATCACAGTGACTCTTACTAGCCTCATAATAAACTCACTTGATATGGGGCTGGGCGCTGTGGCTCACGCCTGTAATTCCAGCTACTTACACTCAAACCCAGGAGGTGGGGGTTGCAGTGAGCTGAGATTGTGCCACTGCACTCCAGCCTGGGTGACACAGTGAGACTCTGTGTCCAAAAAAAAAAAAAAAAAAAATTCCATTTGACATGGAAGGGAAGGGAAAAAAGGATGAGGGAGAGTATGTATAAAATGAACAGAATAGGAAAAGCAAGGCAATGAGAAAGACATCTTTACTGCACCAGCCTCTTCTAGCTTCATGAATAGTTGCATTCTCCATTATTCTCTCAATAACAAACAACATTTTGGTCAATGCCAAGTAATCATGACGAATGAGGTCACATTAGCAAAAAATGTCAACGAAAAATGATTCCCCTGACTTTTTAAAAGTCGTAACAGTTCATGCTTAAAAATCTGGTATCATCACTTGTTAAATCTTTCCTTCACTTCTGTGTCCTAGAGTTAGTATGACCATGAAAGTCCTACCTATTTCAAGTGAAGTCCAATGATTAGTTCTTTAACATGACAAACAAAACTCACCTTCCTCTCTGAAATATACGTGAAAGCAAAAGATAAACGTGTTCATGCAAATACATATTTTTTACATTCACATGTGACACCAGAGATTCACTGCCATCATAGCAGTGATGTTTTTAAAGAGCTCACTTGTATCAAGAAGAAGGACTATATTATAACCTCTACCAAACCCTATTTGCATAAATTCTAAGATGCAGAAAATACCAGTTCAGGGGCAAAATGGGTTGTCATAAATTTGAAACTGTAATTTCCATACAGTAATATAAAAACCTCAGAGAATATCCCTCAAATATTTGAGGGAAATAACAGAGTATCTGGAACAGATCTGGTTTCATTAAGTTTCATGGAATTTATCCACCCACACAAACTTTTTTTCAACTACCTGATGCAATATCAAATACTTACTAAGTAATTTGTTGTCGTACTCTCTTCCCCTCTACCCATGTATCTGTAGAAGCGATGATCTGCTACCACCAATAATTTACATGTGTTCTTCATGGGATCTGGGACAGCTCTTTTCTTCAACCGATGAACAAGCTCTAATATGAATTTGTATGCACTATTAAATCAAAATTCACCAAAACAGGGAGTTTTATGGTAACACTTTAAATCTAATGTATTTTTGACACAAACATTATGTGAGCTTAATATCATTAAAGGATCTTGAACAACAAAAAAACAATTTGGAGGAAGACAGAAAAGTGAAAAGTAATATGAAATTTAAACACTGTATAATTCAAAACCAAGGACAAGTACCTTCTTAATTTTTAAAACACAGAAACTTTAAAAAGTACTGGCCAGGCACAGTGGCTCACGCCTGTAATCCCAGCACTCTGGGAGGTCGAGGTGGGCGGATCACTTGAGGTCAGAAGTTTGAGACCAGCCTGGCCAACATGGTGAAACCCCATCTCTACTAAAAAATACAAAAATTAGCCAGGTGTGGTGGCACATGCCTGTAATTCCAGCTACTCAGGAGGCTGACGCAGGAGAGTAACTTGAACCTGGGAGGCAAAAGTTGCAGTAAGCCGAGATCGTGCCACTGCATTTCAGCCTGGGTGACAGAGTGAGAATCCATCTCAAAAAAAAAAAAAAGTGCTCAAAAGAGCAAGGCAGGGCATGTTGGCTCAGGCCTGTAATCTCAGCACTTTGCAAGGCTGAGGTGGTCAGGTCACCTGAAGACAGGATTTCGAGACCAGCCTGGTCAACATGATGAAATCCCATCTCTACTAAAAATACAAAAATTAGCCTGATATAGTGGCACATGCCCATAATCCCAGCTACTCTGAAGGCTGAGGCAGGAGAATCACTTGAACCCAGGAGGCGAAGGTTGCAGTGAGTCAAGATCGTGCCATTATACTAAAGCCAGGACAAGAGTGAGAATCCATCTCAAAATAAATGCATAAATAAAAAGTGCTCAACAGGGTAAAACAGTCACCTAATGCTGGGCTATGAAGCTGTCAGTCATATTCTACAACAAGAAGTTTATGAATTAACCAAAGGAACAGTAAAAATGTCAAGATATTCACATTGAAAATTAGTTGGTGTTAACAGGACATCTTTCTTATGAAATAAATTAAGGATTTACTTATATATTAAAATGCTAAGATATAATTTTAAAAATATAACCATCTTTGGCTGGGCATGCTGGCTCACATCTGTAATCCCAACACTTTCGGAGGCTGAGACAGGCAGATCACTTGAGGCCAGGAGTTAAAGAACAGCCCGGCCAACATGGTGAAACCCCATCTCTATTAAAAATACAAAAATTAGCCAGGAGTGGTGGCATGCGCCTATAATCCCAGCTACTCAGGAGGCTGAGGCAGGTAAATCGCTTGAACCTAGGAGTCAGAGGTTGCAGCGAGCCAAGATCACGCTGCTGCTGCAAAAAAAAATTTTTTAATAACAACAAAGAAAACCTAACCAGAGGTGTTTTGGGTAGAAAAACTCCAAGATGGTTATGTTTTTTAAATGATTCTAAATAGACTGTATTCAGCAGAATACAAGAAGGTTAACCATCTTGGGACAGTCTATTTAGAATACTCCTGCTACTAATCAATTTCTTATAAACTCTAAAGATTGTCTTTCATCAAATTATCATTTCTAAATACCTGCAAGAATATTTTCCCTCAGATCATTCCGTTTCCCTTTTCCATATCTTTTTTAAAATCTAATCTTTGTTGTTCTCATTATTTTCAAGCCTTTTCAACTCTTACATTATAGACAAAATAACTTGAAAATTTCAGGAACAAAACCCTTACTTTCATGCCAAATACTATACTTACTTGATAAGCATGTTATTTTTTATTAGTTAACAACCACCCCTATTGAAGCCAATTGTAATATGTTTGTTTCTTATTTGATATAATATCTTTAAGCCTTACCTTCAGGTGGTTCTCTGTCGATTAACCCTTTTGGGAGCAACTCTTCATTATCCACTTTTAAATAACCACACACTTTTGGAGACTGCAAACGTGAAACATTCTTGATATCTTCAGATTTATAAACTAACATTCTTTTGTCTTTGGTGTCATTAACAAATCTCCAAAGTGGCTAAAACAGAAAATATACATGACAGAGATGAAAAAAACAATTCCTAAACACTAAATTTTTCCAACATTCCTTGCTTATTCTTACAAAATATTCATTTCTAGGTTAAGTAAACTGGTAAGTCATGTTATTAACAATAAATAACCTCAATTTTTATCATGTGGAGTTTCTATGCTGGTAAGTAAATACATAGATTATACACTCTGATTATTTTATCTATATATAAATAAAGCCTTACATACTTTGCACATGTAATGAAATCTTTTAGAGGATGTATAAGATAAATATGCCTATCATTTTCCATTCATTCATTAAAAAATACTCTGTAATATCTACTGTACACTGGCACTGTTATAGGTGATGGTGCTATTGCAATGATAATTGGACAAAGTTTCTGTTCGTGTAGGATTTTCATTTTAGCTTTCTAAATACTTAGGTGTTTGACACCTTTTTGCCATGCTAGGTTTTATCCACACACAAAAACACAAACGTATTTACATAAAATGAAACTGAGAACTTGCAACAATAGGTCTGAACCTTATTACTGGTTTCAGGGAATGCAGTTTGTAAAAAAAATCTCCATTTACAATGTTACAAGGCCAGAATAAATCACAACTAACATACTCCAAAGGTTACCCAAGTCAAAAGGATGTTTGTTTTGTTTCAAAGCAAAATTATTCTCTGTAAGAACACTGTCTCATCAGAACCAGGCAGTTTATGGGAGATAGACAAAAAATATATTTATCTCCATCAGGGAAATGCAAATCAAAACCCCAATGGGGGAAAAAAAACCCATAATGAGACACCCCTGGATACCCACTAGGATGATTATAATCAAACACAAATACTAGTGAGGATATAGAGAAATCCAGAACCCTCATATATGCTGATGAGAATGTAAAATGGTACAGCCACTTTAGAAAACAGTCTGGCAGGTCCTCAAAGGCTAAAAGTAGAATTACCATATGATCCAGCAATTCTGCTACTAGTATATAACCAAGAGAAATGAAAACATAAGCAGTATTGTAAATCATAGCTAAAAAGTGGAAACAATCCAAATGTCCATCAACAACTAATCGATGAATAAACAATGCAGTCTATCCATACAATGGAATATTATTCTGCAATAAAAATAAATAAGATACAGATACAACATGGATGAACCTTGGAAACATTCTAGAAGAAGCCACACACAGGCCGGGCACTGTGGCTCACGTTTGTAATCCCAGCACTTTGGGAGGCCAAGGCAGGTAGGTCACTTGAGATCAGGAGTTTGAGACCAGCCTGGCCAACATAGCAAAACCCCCTCTCTACTAAAAAAATTCAAAAATTAGGCATGGTGGCAGGCACCTGTAATCCCAGCTACTGGGGAAGCTGAGGCAAGAGAATCAGCTGAACCTAGGAGGCGGAGGGTGCAGTGAGCCGAGATTGTGCCACTGCGCTCCAGCCTGGGTGACAGCAAGACTCTATCTCAAAAAAAAATTAAAAAAAAAAAAAAAAAAAAAAAAAAGAACCCACACACAAAAAACCACATATTATATAATTCCATTTATATAAGATGACCCAAACAGGCAAATCTAAACAGATAGTAGTTAGGAAGGAAGGGGGATGTATGGCTAAAAAATACAGCATTCCTTTTCAGGTCATGAAACGTTCTAAAATTGAATGTGGTGGTGTTTACACAACTCCATCAATATACGAAAAACTGCCAGGCGCAGTGGATCACACTTGTAATCTCAGCACTTTTGGAGGCCAAGGTGGGTGGATCACTTGAGGCAAGGAGTTCAAGACCAACCTGACCAATATGGTAAAACCCCACCTCTACTGAAATACAAAAATTAGCCAGGCATGGTAGCGGGTGCCTGTAATCCCAGCTACTAGGGAAGCTGAGGCAGGAGAATCACTTGAACCCAGGAGGCAGAAGTTGCAGTGATTGTGCCACTGTACTCCAGCCTGGGTGACAAGTGAGACTCTGTCTCAAATATATGTGTGTGTGTGAATATATATATATATATATATATTCACACACAAAACTACAAAGCTGTGTATATTAAGTGGGTGAATAATATAGTATGTGAATTATGTCTCAATAAAACTGTTAAATATTATCTACATACACATCTTTGGTAATTCATGTATGAGGTAGATGTAACAATGGTTACAGAATTTCAGGGTTGGCAGAGACCTCAAAAGTTAACTAACCCAACTCCTGGGCTACAGGAATCTTCCATATTTAGTAAAGTTTATTTAGCCTATAAATAGAAGTGAAAATTTTTTTCTTTGGATCAAACATTTCTAAGTTGACACTGATTGTTTCCTAGTATAGCCAGTCTAGCATAGAAAGACAGCTAGCTTTGGGATCAGAGATATCTGAGTTCAAACCTCAACCTTACCTCACTATGTGCCTTGGACAAGTGCCCTGAGCATTATTTCCCTCATTAGGTAAAGCAGTGATAATACCTAACTTGAAGATTATGTAGATAATAAATCTAGTTTTATATTAAAATTTCAAAAGAAAAGTGGTTGTTATTAATAAAAGCTAAGCCTATTACCATTATTACTAGTAAGTTGATGGAAAAAATAATTTGATAAATAACTAAAAGGCAGAAGGCTTGATTGGGTCCAAGACTGGAAAGCCAAAAAAAATCTACGAAGGATATTTTGAGGATGACTAGAGATTTTGACCATGGCTTGATTATTAGATAATACTGTAGAATTCTTTTCATTTTCTCAGGTATCTTACTTTCATTACAGCTATATAAAAGAGTCCCTTTATTCCTAGGGATGCATACAGAAGTATTTAGGTGTGAAGTCTCATGATGTTTGCAAACGATTTTCATATGTTTTGGGGAAAAAAAGAGAGGAAACATCATATTATGTTAGCACTTTTTTAAGGGCTACAGGGTAATTTTTTAATCTATCTGTACATTTGAACATTTTCTTTTCTTTTGTTTTTTTGAGACAGAGTTTCGCTCTGTCACCCAGGCTGGAGTGCAGTAGAGCAATCTCAGCTCACTGCAACTTCTGTCTCCCAGGTTCAAGCTATTCTCCTGCCTCAGCCTCCTGAGCAGCTGGGATTTCAAGCACAAGCCCCCAAGCTCGGACAAGTGTTTGTTTTTAGTAGAGACACGGTTTCACCATGTTGCCAGGCTGGTCTCAAACTCCTGGCCTAAAGTGATCTGCCCACCTCAGCTTCCCAAAGTGCTGGGATGACAAGCATGAGATACTGCACCAGCTTAACATTTTGAAAACTAGAAGTTGGGGGAGGCTGAGCACGGTGGCTCACGCCTGTCATCCCAGCACTTTGGGAGGCTGAAGTGGGTAGATTACAAGATCAGGAGTTCGAGACCAGCCTAGTCAACATGGTGAAACCCCGTCTCTACTAAAAATACAAAACTTAGGCCAGGCGCAGCAGCTCATACCTGTAATCCCAGCACTTTGGGAGGCTGAGGCAAGTAGATCGCCTGAGACCAGGAATTCAAGACCAGCCTGGCCAGCCTGGCCAACACAGAAACCCTGTCTCTACTAAAAATACAAAAACTAGCCGGTTATCATGGTGCACACCTGTAATCCCAGCTACTTGGGAGGCTCAGGCAGGAGAAATGTTTGAATCTGGGAGGTGGAGGTTGCAGTGGGCCAAGATCATGCCACTGCACTCCAGCCTGGGCAACAGAAGGAGACTCCGCCTCAAAAAAAAAAAAAAAAAAATTAGCTGGGTGTGGTGGTACATGCCTGTAATCCCAGCTACTTGGGAGGCTGAGGCAGTAGAACTGCTTAAACCCAGGAGGCAGAGGTTGCGGTGAGCCGAGATCACACCACTGCACTCCAGCCTGGGCAAGAGAGCAAGGCTCCATTTCAAATAAATAAATAAAAGTTGCAGAAAAAATTATCTCACTATGCAAGTTTACCTTGGGTTTATTTATATAAATAGTAAGCTATGGTAAAGTCAATGATGGTTTAGAATATTTAATGGCTGGGCACAGTGGCTCACACCTGTAATCCCAGCACTTCGGGAGGCCAAGGTGGGAGGATTGCTTATGGCCAGGCATTTGAGACCAGCCTAGGCAACACAGTGAGACCTCATCAAAAATTTGATACTCTAGCCGGGCGCGGTGGCTCAAGCCTGTAATCCCAGCACTTTGGGAGGCCGAGGCGGGTGGATCACGAGGTCAAGAGATCGAGACCATCCTGGTCAACGTGGTGAAACCCCGTCTCTACCAAAAATACAAAAAATTAGCTGGGCATGGTGGTGCGTGCCTGTAATCCCAGCTACTCAGGAGGCTGAGGCAGGAGAATTGCCTGAACCCAGGAGGCGGAGGATGCGGTGAGCCGAGATCGCGCCATTGCACTCCAGCCTGGGTAACATGAGTGAAACTCCGTCTCAAAAAAAAAAAAAAAAATTTGATACTCTACAAAAATCTAACAAATTAGTTGGGCATGGTGGCATGCACCTGTAGTCCCAGCTACACAGGAGGCTGGAGAGAGAGATTGTTTGAGCCCAGGAGGTCAAGGCTGCAATGAGCTATGATGGCACCACTAAACTTCAGCCTGGTTAACAGAGTAAGACTCTGTCATAAATAAAATATTTAATGATGACATGTTAAAAATAAGATATATATTTTTTCCCACTCACTTATATACCTAAGATCTTAATGCAGATGAACAATGATTTTCACATCAAGGTAAGGGTAAAGAATTATTTTTTTATGTCAGATTGGTAATGTGCTAACATTGTAACAAGGTTCTATCCAGGAGACGATGGTTGTGGTGAACTGAGATCAGATGGTTGTGGTGAACTGAGATCACGCCATTGCACTCCAGCCTGGGCAACAAGAGGGAAACTCAAAAAAAAAACAAAAACAAACAAAACCCTAATTTAGATCTATATTAACATGAAAAGGTTCATAATCATATTGTTAAATAAAAAATGTGTGAAAACGAACTACATATTGTATGGTCCTAGTTTTACAGGAAAAAAATAGTCTGTGTAACTATACTTGTGTATATACGCATAGAAAAAATATTTGGTTGCCTGTCAAAATGTCAATAGTAGTTATCTGTCAAGTACAGATAACCTATTTTCCAAATCTTTCAACAAGTATATATTTTCAAATAAAGGTTTTTTTTTTTTAATAAATTGATTGAAAGAACAAGCAAATTTAGGACATTATAGTGATGCTTTGCCTATTGTAGAATGTATGCATTTTTAATATTAGTTCCTTTACTTTTTGCTAAATTTCTGACTCTTCTGGTAGGCTAGACTCCTCAAAACATTGACATTAAATAGTTTAAACATTAACAAACTATAACATACTGCAAGGCCACAGGTTTCTTTTTCACAATGATGGATAGCCAAAAGACTAACAGTCATGTAGTTTGGAAATAATTCACATGCATAGTATTTCTAGCTCCAGCAGACTGTTTTACCCCTATTCAGCACTGAAATACACCTGAAGATTTCATTTTGACCAATCTTAATCAGTTTTCCCACAGATGACCTATTTTAGTGATATCACCACCACTACCCAGAGTTTTCTTATTTTTCAAGAAACACAGAATCAACTTCAATTCACAATTATGTGGTAAACATTTTGTTTTGTAGACTAGTATCCGACACATAGATATGTGTCTTAACCAGTGCAGCCACTGTGGTCTTGATTTCTACTGTTATTCTTTCAATGGAAGAGTGATCACAGCCTGATTCTCCTAGTCTCCTCTTTAACTTCTCAGACTATGAACTACACACCTTCCATTGATCTAGCATTTCCAGTGTGTCTAGCAGAAATATGGAGAAATTGAAAAATAATACTTTACTTTCATTTCTGAGGATGTTTACATTTATTATTTGAGAAAGAATTAAAAAATGAGTCAAAAGGGAAAGAAAGTTTTCTCTAGGCCGGGCGCGGTGGCTCAAGCCTGTAATCCCAGCACTTTGGGAGGCCGAGGCGGGTGGATCACGAGGTCAAGAGATCGAGACCATCCTGGTCAACATGGTGAAACCCCGTCTCTACTAAAAATACAAAAAAATTAGCTGGGCATGGTGGCGCGTGCCTGTAATCCCAGCTACTCAGGAGGCTGAGGCAGGAGAATTGCCTGAACCCAGGAGGCGGAGGATGCGGTGAGCCGAGATCGCGCCATTGCACTCCAGCCTGGGTAACATGAGTGAAACTCCGTCTCAAAAAAAAAGAAAGTTTTCTCTGCCTATTATCCAACCCACATGTAATTATCTCAATTATGGTACTTAGAAATACAGAGTATATCATAACACAGCTTCTTAGAGATTATCCTTTTTTAAAAATCTACTTTCCTGGTAAAAGTCTTCAAATACAAAAAAGAAAGAAGTATAATTACTTTTCACCTTTGCAGGACTAAGCAGCTTTTTGAAAATGAGAGATATAAGCTACTGAAAAAAAATTCACATAAAAATTTACCTCTATGTTATATTCGGCCCCATCTGTGTTGATTCTGATTATAACATCATCATCTCTTATGTGGGCTAGAACCCTAGAGTCAGGCTCACCTTAAGAGAAAAAAAAAATCTATTATTTAAAAATACTAACATCAAATAATAAACTATGCATTACTCTCAATAAAAATTAAATCCTTCAGGTGGAATTGGAATTTGCCTAGTACTGTGAGAGCTCTGCAAATCAAGAAACAAAGGCCCCAGAAAGAAGCTAGATAATCTCACCGCCTAAGGGGTAGCCTCAAGTCTAGTTACTTGAAACCTATCCCTTTCCCAAAGCCAACAAAACTACTAAGATTTTCTTCTGGAATAACGTTATCTACTTTTAGGTAAAGGAAGAACTAAAAGAGGCAGAAAGCATGATTTGGAATGTACAGGCCTAGGCACTACACTATTTGTGGATTTCAATGCCATTTCTTTTTTCTCATTGCAGAAAAAGGTCAAAAAGTAAACTGCAATTGCTTGTTTGACAGATTTTCTCAAATATATACATAATAGGATCACAAAGTATTTTATCTCCAAGCTTCCCTCTTTAAAATATCATAAAGCAAGCCTACAGTCACTGCTGAAGACAAGAAAGGTTAAGCTCCTAACACATAAGAGGAAATTAATTTTAAACATCAAACCAGCAGCTAGTATGACATTTAAATAATACTCACTTCCTCCTATTTGAATGTTCCTGCCTCTAAACTTATATACCTCAAAGTATACAGTCAAAAAATAGCGCTTCCATGACATCCCATCCCCACTACCCTGCACCAGAAAAGAATATGCAAACAAGTCAGATTTGGAGACCAAACCCACCAGACACAGAGGCAAACCAACAAGCTCCATACTAACCAACCACGTGTCCAGTGAAGAAGTCCTGCCATTTCACAGCGTACTCGCTTTCATTTTTACCATCCACCACCACGACCTTGAAATTTTGTGAAAAACGTTCAGTACTTGATGTCAGGTATAATTTAAAATGCCTAAAGAAAAATGCATTCATATTTTACTCCAAGTACACAAATTAGAAGCCTCATTTTCATGTAATCGCACTTTCTTAAAAAGCCAGGAATGTTGACATTAATAAAACACTATACAAGTTATAACGAATGTCTTATTAGGTACTTAGAGCAACGTATCTCCTGTAAAGTCAAACGGACTAATTTATTTAGCTATAAAAACAGCAGACCAAAATAAACTCACACTAGGGAAAAGATATTCAAAGAACTTACACAGTAATGTCTCCTGGAAAACAATGAAGAATAAGGAAACACACACAACTGGGTAGTTAAGTTGGAATCCTGCTTATCTAAAAAATTTACTGTTAAAAACTAATCCTATTATACACCATTTATTGAACATCTACTTCGTGTTAGGTACTATGCATCTATTAACTCCACTTCACACAAGCAAAACTTGAGGCTTGGAATAATTAACCTACTCAAAGTTACACAGCTAGTAAATGATGAAACTGGAAAAAAAACCTGGTTTACTTCAAAACCTTATACTATGCTGTCTCATAACTATCAAGCTGGGTAGACTATGAAAAAATTCTTATTGCTGTACAAAATTAATAAATGCTTTCTATACTTAAAAGCACTCATGCTTTTTTCCTCAAAACAATATATCCTGCAAAATATTAATCCACAATTACCATTAGGAAAATACATACAAGGTATCCAAACAGACATTAGAATATACACTTCATCGGCACCATTAGAAAGGGGAAGAAAGAAATATACACTCCAGTTCTTTAGTTGGCTTCCTATTCTTTTTGTTTTCTATGAGCTTAAGTCCTTACATGAAAACTGGGAATGGTGAGCAAGACTTTCTCAATTATTATTTACAGTTTTTCAATGTGTACATGAGCACCAAAGACAAAGAAAGGTATGTTTCTTTGTTTCACCCACAAGCTGTGGTACTGAAAATATATTACTTCCCCAAGGGTTTGCAGAAGTCTTTAAACTACCGGAAAGAAATCTAGACTGGGTCTATCTCCATGGCAACATATATTTTTAACTTTTTTAGCATAACAAGGCAATTTTAGTTTGCTTGTGGTTTCTTAATGGCCAAAGGGAAAAGACACAGTAGAACATTATTTCATAAATCCTCAGAACATTTTCTCCTGCTATACTAAAACATATATTCCCACACATTCTCAGTGATTTTTCCCTCCAGTTATGCTAAGAACTTTCAAGAGCATACTTATTATAAATGCCTTATAATTTTTTTTAAAGCTAAGAGTTGCAATACTACTTAATGTTCTTTCCAGAAAGAAATTAATGGAATTGCATTTTTCGTTTTCTACATTAAGAATCTGCTATAAAGACCAAGCAATGGTAAAATTCATGTTTTTTTATTTTCCAATATTAGTTTCCGAGCTATAAAACCTCCGGCTGAGCGCAGTGGCTCACGCCTGTGATCCCAGCACTTTGGGAGGCCGAGGCAGGCAGATCACGAGGTCAGGAGTTCGAGACCAGCCTGGCCAACATAGTGAAACCCTGTCTCTACTAAAAATACAAAAAATTAGCCAGGTGTGGTGATGGGTGCTTGTAATCCCAGCTACTGGGGAGGCTGAGGCAGGAGAATTGCTTGAAACTGGAAGGCAGAGGTTACAATGAGCCAAGATCACGCCATTGCATTCCAGCCTGGATGACAGAGAAAGACTCCATCTCAAAAAAAAAAAAAAAAAAAAACCTCCACTAGAACGTCAAAATTTCTTTTTCTTTATTCTCCCAAAATTATGTGAAGTCATTTACTTACAGATTTCTTTAATGTTTTATCTTTCTGACTTTGGACTTAAGAATTTACAGTAACTACAGACCAGCTAACCAGTTTGAATTAACATTATTTTCCTAACCATTTTTAATGGTCCGTTTAGTCAAGTATATCATTCATTTCTTTATCAGTTCTAGACCCCCTCAAATAATCTGAGATAATTCACTTTTAGAAGAAATATTTAACTTTTTCCAAAAAAATTCAGGCATTATCAAAAATATATCAAAACAGTACCTGCAGCTTTTTCATTATTTAAAAATGAGAGAATTTCTTGATTTATAACAAAGAGGAAATGAAACTTGTAAGGCATGTTTTAAACAAGTTTTTTTCTTAAGTTACTTCAACTCTTCATACAACCTCCCTCAGTATTTCCATGCTTTTTCAACCTCTAATAGTTACATACAAATTTAATGCAATGATCTTGGTTTAAATTACTTTGCCTTCCACTGCTACGGAAAAACAAAACTTTCTCATTTATCATCAATAAGTGGTTTCACAGAGATAATTCAGCCCTGATATGAACTGATTATTTCAGCTATCTTAGTTTGTTTTTGTTGTTTTAAGCTTTAATAATGCAATATGACAGGAAAGAAAGGGTATGGGCTTTGAAGATCTAACAAACTTGGCTCAAGTCCTAACCTTCATTTACTCACTGTCTGACCTTGGCCTTAATCTCTGAATCTAAGTATTTATCTACAAATGGAAATAATATCACCTAATAACTGAATAGTTTTGAGGATTAAAGAAAATAACCTATTTTAAAGCAACTGGTATAAAATCCCAGAGACTGTTCAATTTCCCATTAAATATTTAATATAAAAAGTTTGTAAAATAATGTACTTCCCTACTTTCTTACACAGAGAAAAGATAATGACTGGCTACTATTTAATATTTTCTTAAGGAATCAATGTCATCTACCAAACATGAAAGAGAAATATGTAAGGCTATGAAAGTTTTCCCCTCTAGAACACAGATTCTACAGGCCACCTCAAATCCAACTTTAAAAGAAACCCCAAAAGTCCATTTTATAGTTTCCTCTCTCTTCCTTTGCTCCTACTCACTTCTTGCTACTATATCCACTTCTTCACCAAACTCCCACCAGTATAGCAGAAATAACCTTTAGCATAGCAGGAGTCCAACCTTTGTTCAACTCTTTTATCTGTCATTTGCTGAGTAATCTTGGGCAAGTTACTAATCTAAGACTTAATTTTTTTTCCTTCAAAAAGGGAATCACTTCCATACCGAGTGTGGTGAGAATCAGAGATAACTTATGTAAAGTGCCTAGTAAATTACAGAAAATAAGCACCTGATAAACTGTAGCTATTAATATTACCAATCTGCTCAAATTTGGTGTAAGTTGAAAGCTAGGTAACCAATACTGTAATATTCTGACATAAAATCTAATAAAAAGAAGTCATTAAAAAATAACCTAAGGATAATGGCAATAGCTAGGAAAAATTAAAATAATTTGCATTAAAAATTTGCATAAAATAACCACATGGCAATGGATCATTTTCCTTAATATACTAAAGCACTTCTACAATTCAGTAGTTAGACAAATTCAATAGAAAAACAGTCAAAGATATAAAAAGGCAGTTTACAGAAATATAAAACAAATTACTTACAAACATATAAAAAGATGCTCTATGTCACACAAAAGGAAAATCAAAACAACCATAAAATACCATCCCCTTTTGAGGGGTGAAAGTTAAAGGCTGATAAACCTAGTATTGGCAAAGATAACAGAACACAGGTAAACTCATATATTGCTGCTGGAAGAATAAATTGGTCAAATCTCTTTGGGAGGAAAGAACAATATCAATAAACATAGTATACATATCCTTGACTCAATAATTCTCCCTCTAGGAATATATCCTATTTAAAACACCTCAGCAAGGTACACATTACGAAGATATTCACTAAAGCATTGTTTGTTATATTTTTTAAAAAATCACTTTGGTTAAATAATATCCATGTGTAGTGTATTAGTATGTTGTTACAATTCTACGCAATAGGAATATTCATGCAGCTGTTTAAAATGAGGTAAATATGTTATCTGTATCACCTACACACACACACACACACACACACACACACACACACACACACACACACCTATGGGCAAAAAATACGCATTAAAATATTCTGGGCTGTGCACAGTGGCTCACACCTGTAATCCCAGCACATTGGGAAGCCAAGGCAGGTGGACCACCTAGGTCAGGAGTTTGAGACCATCCTGGCCAACATGGTGAAACCTCGTCTCTACTAAAAATACAAAAATTAGCTGAGCATGGTGGCGGGTGCCTGGAATCCCACCTACTGCGGAGGCTGAGGCAAGAGAATCACTTGAACCCCGAAGGTGGAGGCTTCAGTGAGCTGAGATCATGCCATTGCACTCCAGTCTAGGTGACAAAAGCGAAACTCCATCTCAAAAAAAATTGGAAGTTTACATAGTTAACCTCTCTGCAACTGAGAAGTGTAACTGAATTAGAAGTAAAAACGTTTTATATCCCCCATGGTTTGTTTTTTAAACCAGAGGTACATATTGCTTTTATTTTTTAACGCAGTAGAGAAGGCTTGTCCTATAAATAAAGAATAAAGATGGCCAGGTACCTGTAATCCCAGCACTTTAAGAGGTCGAGAGAGTGGATCACTTGAGGTCAGGAGTTCAGGGCCAGCCTGACCAACATGGTGAAACCCTGTCTCTACCAAAAATACAAAAATTAGCTGGGCGTGGTAGTGTGCACCTGCAATCCCAGCTACTCGAGAGGCTGCAGCATGAGCATTGCTTGAACCCGGGAGGCAGAGGTTGCAGTGAGCCAAGATCACACCACTGCACACCAGCCTGAACAACAGAGCAAGACTCTCAAAAAAAAAAAAAAAAAAAGAATAATTCAGTCAATTTATATTCTCCACGTGTTTGTTTTTTGATACTGAATAAAGCTCCCTAAAGACTTTTTAAAAAGGCCTGCAATTATCTAACAGATTTCAATGTGCAAAACAACATGTGATATCAAAATTACTACTGAACTAGAACATATCGGCCGGGCACGGTGGCTCACGCCTATAATCCCAGCACTTTGGCAGGCCGAGGCAGGTGGATCATGAGGTCAAGAGATCGAGACCATCCTGGTCAACAAGGTGAAACCTCGTCTCTACTAAAAATACAAAAATTAGCTGGGCATGATGGTGCATGCCTGTAGTCCCAGCTACTCGGGAGGCTGAGGCTGGAGAATTGCTTGAACCCAGGAGGCGGAGGTTGCAGTGAGCCAAGATCGTGCCATTGCACTCCAGTCTGTGCAACAACAGCAAAACTCCGTCTCAAAAAAAAAAGAAAGAAATAGAACATATCAATTAATTTATGCTATGAAGTAAGAAGAACTCAATGTAGAAAGAACATTAAATTTGGGCCAGCATGGTGGCTCACACCTGTAATCCCAGCACTTTGGGAGGCCAAGATGGAAAGATCACCTGAGCCCAGGAGTTAAGATCAGCCTGAGCAACATGACAAGACCCTGTCTTTAAAAATAAATAATTATAGGCAGCATGGCAAGACTCTGTCTTTAAAAATAAATATGAAGCAGGTTAAAGAATCTTGGAAACTAACTAGCTAGCTAAATAAATAGAACACTAAATTCTAGATCCAGCTCACCACCAGGCTGTGGGGTCCTAAACAAAATCTGTATCTCTTCATATATAAAATCAAGATAATATTTAGTATATGGCTGATGGTTCTAAAGTAGCACCAAAAATGTAAGATTTTTATAAGCATTCAATTAATTAAAATTATCTGTTAGAATTTTCTAAACATTGTTACCATCATTAATACCTCTGCAATACCTATTTACTTTTTAAAAATACTCATCAGTATGAATTTTATTTATTACTTTTTTTGTTGTTGAGACAGTCTCTTACTCTGTTGCCCAGTCTGGAATGCAGTGGCACCATCTCAGCTCACTGCAGCCTCCACCTTCCAGGTTCAAGCAATTCTCCTTGCCTCAGCCACCCGTGTAACTGGGATTACCGGCATGTGCTACCATGCCTGGCTAATTTTTGTATTTTTAGTAGAGATGGAATTTTGCCATGTTGCCCAGGCTGGTCTCAAACTCCTGAGATCAAGCAATTCACTCATCTCAGCCTCCCAAAGTGCTCGGATTACAGGTGTGAGCCACTGCTCCCAGTCCCAATTTTAGAATAAGCGTTATACTGGAAAATCACATATAACAGACTGTAATTGTTCATTACAAATCTTTAAAATATAATTAACCAAGATTTCAGTAGACAGCCTTACTTTTTTGTTTTTGCCAAACCAAGCCCCCAGTGCCCCAACGTTATTCCATGAATAATTACCTTTTCAAAGCTGAAAAACTTAGTAGTGTTTCTGCATGTGTTGAACTCTGTAGATCTCTTTTTCTTACCGAATGCTGCTGGATGTTAGATAAGGAGAGAATATCGTAGTCTGAGAGCAAAGAATCAAGCTTCTCTGAAATAAAGGTAAAAACAGTATTAGCACCCAAACCTAATAAATGACTGTAATATCATTAAAATGAGAGTGCCAGACAATAAATCTTTCCTGACGTAATCCGTTAGGAAGTGCCAAGCACAAACTACAAACCATTTTTTATCAACAGAAACTCCATGCCTCTTCCAAAATCAGAAGGATTTTTAGAAGACAAATTGGGTGACTTGAGTCTCTTTAAAAACTGTCTAAAAATATTTGTGCTGATGCTTTCCTTTTCTTTCAATAAATACCACTACAGACACTATGGTATTCAAAATCCTTCCAATGGACTTAGAAGGTCCTCAAAATATAGCAGCAGGAGTTTAAAATACAAGTTTATTGCTACTGATGTTAAATATGTTCACAAAATCAGTTTTAAAAGAAGGACTCTGACTCATGTGTGAAAGCTAAAAATGTGGATCTCGGGGAGGTAGACAGCAGAATGGTGGTTACCAGAGACTGAGAAGAGGAGTAGATTAAAAAAAATTTTTTTTTGAAATGGGGTGTCTATATGTTGCCCAGGCTTGTCTTGAACTCCTGGCCTCAAGTGATCCTCCTGCCTTGGCCTCCCAAAGTACTTGGATTACAGGCATTCCAGCCTGGGCCCCAGAGTAAGACTCCATCTCAAAAAAAAAAAAAAAAAAAAAAAAGTTGGGGGGGCCAAAAAAGGGCTACATTTTATTCATTACAATATCTTTGCCTCACAATACTTAGCATAGAACCTTGCACATATCAGCACTCACATGTTCACAATCTGCACAAATTCTCAATGCTGAAATGCCATATGATCCTTTAGCTCTTCAGCTTCCCTGATACAGGTTGGTACATGAACTCGGTTTCATTCAAGATCATAATCACTCCCTCTGACTTAGGAACTTAACCTCAACATTGTAGTTTCATTGTCAAAAATACAGGCCAGTAGTTCCAAACCAGCAGCATCAGCATCAGCTCGGAATTGGTTAGAAATAAAAATGCTCAGGTCCCCCCCCTCAGACCTACTCAAACAGAAATCTGCCCAGTAGGATGCAATAGACTGTGTTTACAAGGCTTTCCAGGTGATGCTGACACACTCAATTATGAAAACCACTAAACTGTTCGGGCAAGGTGGCTCATGCTTGTAATCCCAGCACTCTGGGAGGCCGAGGAGGGTGGATCACCTGAGGTCAGGAGTTCAAGACCAGGCTGGCCAACATGGCAAAACCCCGTCTCTACAAAAAATTAGCCAGGTGTGGTGGCAGATGCCTGTAATCCCAGCTACTGGGGAGGCTTAGGCAGGAAAATCACTTGAACCCGGGAGGCAGAGGTTGCAGTGAGCCAAGATCATGCCACTGCACTCCAGCCTGGGCAACAAGGTGAGACTCTGTCTCCAAAAGGTAAGAAAGAAAAAAACCACTGAACTAAGCTAAAAGAAAGAAACAACTCGCCGGGTGTGGTGGCTCACGCCTATAATCCCAGCACTTTGGGAGGCCGAGGCGGGTGGATCACGAGGTCAAGACATCGAGACCTTCGTGGTCAACATGGTGAAACCCCGTCTCTACTAAAATACAAAAATTAGCTGGGCATGGTGGCGCGCTCCTGTAGTCCCAGCTACTCGGGAGGCTAAGCCAGGAGAATTGCTTGAACTCAGGAAGCAGAGGTTGCGGTGAGTCGAGATTGTGCCATTGCACTCCAGCCTGGGTAACAAGAGCAAAACTCCATCTCAAAAAAAAAAAAAAAAAAAAAAAAGAAGAAAGAAAGAAAGAAACAACTCAAAGTAAAGAAAAAAACTTTAACCACAAAGATGTTCATCATTCAGCCTTGGCTTATTTTCAAGGACAAAAACCAGAATGAAGGTAAATTAACAACTGGAAAATGGTTGGATGTTTTAACACTTCCAAAGACAGGAGAAAGAAATCTGCAACCATTTTAAATGTCATCTACAAAAGGTTTTTACGAACATGGGGCTGAGGGCGGTGGCTCCTGCCTGTAATCCCAGCACTTTGGGGGGCCAAGATGAGAGAATTGCTTGACTCAAAGAGTTCGAGACCAGCCTGGGATAGACCCTCATCTCTCCAAAAAGTAACAATAAAAGTAGCCAGGTGTGGTGGCATGTGCTTGTAGTTTCAGCTACTCAGAAGGTTGAGACAAGAGGATCACCTTGAGCCCAAGGGGTCAAGCCTGCAGTGAGTCAAGAATGCACCACTGCACTCCAGCCTGGGTGACAGAATGAGACCCTGTCTCAAAAAGAGAAAGAAAGAAAGAACATAGAAAAATATATATGTTGGGCTGGCCGTGGTGGCTCACGCCTGTAATCCAAGCACTTTGGAGGCCAAGGCGGGCGGATCACCTGAGGTCAGGAGTTCAAGACCAGCCTTACCAACATGATGAAACCCCGTCTTTATAAAAATAAAATAAAATAAAAAAATAAATTAAAAAAAGAAAAATACATGTTATAATGTTAAATAAATCTAGATTTTAAAAATATTCCTACTGCATAATCTTAACTATGTATAAAAATAGGCCTAGAAAAAATAAACACAAGATAGTAACATCATTGGTTATTTTGGGTATATTTTCTATAATAAGCACTTTCTTTTTTTTTTTTTTTTTTGTGACAAAAACTCATTCTGTTGCCCAAGCTGGAGTGCAGAGGCATGATCTCAGCTCACTGCAACCTCCATCTCCCAGGATTCTCCTGCCTCAGCCTCCCAAGTAGCTGGGACTACAGGCATGTGCTGCCATGCTCAGCTAATTTTTGTATTTTTAGTAGAGACAGGGGTTTCAATACGTTGGCCAGGCTGGTCTTGAACTCCTGACCTCATGATCTACCCGCCTTGACCTCCCAAAGTGCTGGGATTATAAGGGTGAGCCACAGCACCTCACCAATAAGCACTTTTAAAATGTAGCTTGCAGTGAGATCCAAGATGGCTGATCACTAGCAGCTCAGGATTGTAGATCCCAGTGAAAGCGCAGAGAAAGAGAGGACGCCACACTTTCAGACGAATTTTTGTTGCTCATACACCAGGAGATTCCCAGCGAAGGAGCCCCACGGGTGGCCAGCACGACTCCTATGGCCGGCGAGGCGGTTTTGCCACTGCCTTGGTGCGGCGGTTCTTGGTGCAGAGTCAGAAAAGCACCATCAATCTTAATGCTGCTGTTTTGGCCAGCACCGTGGGTTGCTCAGATTTTAGCACTGGCAATCAACAAGTTGGACATCCACTCAGAAACCCAATTATAAAGACAGTAATTATAAAGACCACAGATGGATAAATCTATAAAGAAGGGAAGAAAACAGCCTAAAAAGGCTGAGAATGCCCAAAATCGGAACACCTCTCCCTCTACAGGGGATCACGGTTCCTCATCAGCAACAGAACAAGGCCTGATGGAGAATGAGTATGTTCCATTAACAGAAGCAGGCTTCAAAAGGTGGATGATAAGAAACTTCTGTGAATTAAAAGAACTTGTTCTAACCCAATGGAAAGAAACTAAGAACTTTGAAAAAAGGTTTGACAAAATGTTAACAAGAATACACAATTTAGAGAGAATATAAGTGAATAGAGCTGAAAAACAACACGAGAACTTCGTGAACTATGCACAAGTTTTAACAGCCGAATTGATCAAGCAGAAGAAAAGATATCAGAGGTCGAAGACCATCTTAATGAAATAAAATGAGAAGACAAGATTAGAGAAAAAAGGATAAAAAGGAACAAGCAAAGTCTCCAAGAAATGTGGGACTATGTGAAAAGACCTAATCTACATTTGATAGGTGTACCTGAATGTGACGAAGAGAATCAATCCAAGCTGGAAAATATGCTTCAGGATATTATTCAGGAAAACTTTCCCAGCCTAGTAAGGCAGGACAATATTCAACTCCAGGTAATATAGAGAACACCATAAAGACATTCCTCAAGAAGACCAACCTCAAGGCACATAATCGCCAGATTCACCAGGGTTGAAATGAAGGAGAAAATACTGAGGGCAGCCAGACAGAAAGGTCAGGTTACCCATAAAGGGAAGCCTATCAGACTCATAGCAGATCTCTCAGCAGAAACCCTGCAAGCCAAAGAGAGTGGGGGCCAACATTCAACATCCTTAAAGAAAAGAACTTTCAAACCAGAATTTTACATCCAGCCAAACTAAGCTTCATAAGCAAAGGAAAAATAAAATCTTTTGTGAACAAGCAAGCACTCAGAGATTTCATCACTACCAGGCCTGCTTTACAAGAGCTTCTGAAAGAACCACTACATATAGAAAGGAACAACCAGTATCAGCCTTTCTAAAAAATACCAAAAAGTAAAGAGCATCAACATAATCAAGAATTTACATCAACTAATGGGCAAAACAGCCAGCTAACATTAAATGGCAGTATTAAACTCACATATATTATTATTAATTCTAAATTTAAATCGACTAAATCCCCCAATCCAAAGACGCAGACAGGCAAAAAAAGCCAAAACCCATCGGTATGCTGCATCCAGACCCATCTCACATGCAAGGATACACAAAGACTCAAAGGGATGGAGAAAGATTTACCAACCAAATGGAGAGCAAAAATAAATAAATAAAAAGCAGGAGTTGCAATTTTTGCCTCTGATAAAATAGACTTTAAAGCAACAAAGATCAAAAGAAGCAAAGAAGGATATTACATAATGATAAAAGGATCAATGCAACAAGCAGAGCTAAAGATCCTAAATATATACGCACCCAATACAGGAATACCCAGATATATAAGACTTATAAAGAGTCTTAGACTCCCACACAATAATAGTGGGAGACTTCAACATCAATATTAGACAGATCAATGAGACAGAAAATTAACAACGATATTCAGGATTTGAACTCAGATTCGGAACAAGTAAACTTAATTAACATTTTTAGAACTCTCCACTTTAAATACACAAAATATATACTCTTATCAGTACCACATCACACCTATTTACAGGTTTAAATGAAATATTGGTTGGCTGCTTGTTTGTTATTTTCTTCCCTCATTTTTTTTTTCC